CTGGCGCGGTGCCGCATACCTGGACCTGGCCTTGCCTATGGGCTGTGCCAGTAGTTCACAAATTTTTCAAATGTTCAGCGATGCATTAGTTTGGATCGCTCAGACCAAGTTCGGTGCTGGACCGATGGTGTCTGTTCTAGACGATTTTTTGTTTATTGGAGCCTCGCAATCTGACTGTCAGCGCTCGCTGGACGGGTTTCGTCGCATGTGCGACGCTTTGAGGGTGCCACTAAAGCCTGAAAAAACTGTGGAGCCCTGCCGCTCTCTCCAGTTTTTGGGGGTGGAAATAGACTTAAACTCACAGGAGCTTCGTCTGCCACCGGCCAAGGTAGAGCGGGCAAAATCAGAAGTACAGTCTCTTCTAAACTCTCGTAAAGTTCCACTGGCCCGATTACAATCATGCCTCGGGCTGCTAAATTTCGCATGCGTGGCTGTCCCACTTGGTCGACCATTCTTACGGCGGCTGTTCGACCTCACTCGTGGTATACGGCGCCGGCACCATCGTGTCACGATGAACAAGGCAGCGAGGCTCGACTTGGCCGCCTGGCGGGTATTTCTGAATGCGTTCAACGGCCGCTCGTTGTTAGACGGCCACCGGTGGGAGCGTGAGCCTGGTCTTATCCTAGAGACAGACGCCGCCGGCGGCGCCGGGCTCGGTGCCATCTGTGGTTCGGCATGGCTGTTCGGGTCTTGGCCGCCCTCCCTGTCTGATGCAGACATCGCAGTAAAAGAAATTGTAGCTATTGTAGTCGCAGTACGAGTCTGGCATCGGCGCTTCGCAAGCCGCTGCATCATCATACGCTGTGACAATTCCGCTGTGGTGCATTGCATCACGACTCAGTCATCCCGCTCTCCCGCTATTATGCATTGGCTGCGTCAGCTGTTTGTTGTCACTGTGCTCAATGATATTTTGGTGCGCGCGGTGCACACACCGGGAACGTCAAACGCTGCAGCTGACGCTCTGTCCCGTGGGCGGGTACAGTTTTTCCGCAGTCTGCGACCGGAAGCGGACAGCCAGCCCACCTCCTGGGATTGGAAGGATTTCGCCACTCTGCAGCAGTCTGCCGTCTGACCACAGCTGCTCTGGCGCCATCGACGGCTCGGGCGTATCAATCAATTTGGAACCACCTGCGTAGTTTTCTTCGCAGGCCTGAACATCTCCCCTTGTTTCCGGTCTCGGTACATGAATTGGCAGAGTTCCTCGCGCACCGCTATGGTGAGGGATGCAGTGCCGCCACACTAGCGGGCATCGCTTCAGCGATTGCATACGGCCACAAAATCCGAGCGCTCCCTGACCCGTCAGGCGACTTCTTTATACGGCAGATGCTCACGGGAGCGCGTCGTCTTCGACCGGCGCGGGACACCCGCATCGCCCTTTCGGTGTCTGACCTGGGCCGGCTGTGCGATGCGCTTACGCTCATTTCCATCCCGGTCACAGAACGCCTGGCGTACCGCGCCATTTTCACTCTGGCATTCTTTGCCCTCCTTCGCCCCTGTGAGGTCGTATGCGGTGGTAACCAGCACTATCTTCGTTTTGGAGGCGTCTGTCTGAACGGTGACAGGTTGTCAATATCGATTCCCTCATCGAAAACATCGTCCAGCCCGTTCACGACTCAGCTCGTGGCACGGCCCGACATCAAAGTGTGTCCCGTGGCCGCCATGCGCGAGTTTCTGAGACATCGTGGTTCGGGGCCGTTGCAGGATGCTTTTTTCATCACCGCTAGAGGGCGCCCCGTCACATGTGACAAACTCAATCGGATTCTGCGCCAAGTGGGGGGTTTGGCCGGCATCGATCAGGGACACTTATCTGCTCACTGCCTGAGAATTAGCGGTGCGTCACATGGAGCCAGCATTGGTATGTCGGTGCTCCAGCTAGAACAAGCTGGGCGATGGTCATCCGGTGCATTGCGTCGATACCTGCGACGGCCTGTATCAGTGCTCAGTGCAACCCCCAGTGGTGGCTCCCAGGGGCAGCCAGCGCTGGCTCGATAGCTAGTATCGGTACCAGTAACGCTGTCTGTCCCATCATGTTACTAGTTGTGCGCCGCGGTGGGCTTGTCTGAACGGAATGTCCTAAGTATACGTTTCTTTTGCGTGTGTGCAAGATATCGTTTAGTTATTGCGCTGCACCGTGCTGGCCCGGCTTCTCAGGACGGTGCCAGAGACACGGATCAGCCCGACATGACCATCAGTTGTACTACTAACCAGCTTATCGAATACATCGTGCAGTCCGCGCACATGTGTCGTCGCGTCGCGCGCCCACAATTATGCATTTCACGGCACCATGTCCGAGTCAGTCTGGAATTAAGTGACTTACACTGTTCGCGGGTTCGGTTGGGGGTTGTGGGCTTTCCCTCACCCAAAGACAGGGTGTGGGAAAAGGGAAAATACATGGACCCAGAACCACACCACTGTCTTTGCAAGCGCGAACATACGAGAAATGCAGCATTTTTGCGCGCATGAGCACAAATGACCTTTCTCGCGGTGAGCGCGAGCCCAGCGCCATCTACGAAGTGACTCGGAGTGAGAGCCGGCTGCGCCCGGCCATTTCACCGCGCGCGTTCGAGGGGCGCGGAAAAAGGCGGAACAGCGTCCACCGTCCACCCCTCCGCCGCCAACTGGGCAGATTAACGATTCGTAAAATGTATGTTGCATTTTCAAAACGGTGCTGAGTATCACAAGTTACGATTTCATGTATGCTTGTTATCATCGGCCATGGCTTTCCCTCACCCAAAGACAGGGTGTGGGAAAAGGGAAAATACATGGACCCAGAACCACACCACTGTCTTTGCAAGCGCGAACATACGAGAAATGGTTGTTGAAAGCAGCTGCAGCCACCTGAAGTTGGTAAGTCGGATGTGCCGAGTCCGACCTAGACAGCACTTAAAACTTTAACCTATAAATTATCCAAATAACGTGAAATTACCCGATCGGATGGCGGACGTCAGGGTATGCGCAACAGGATCTGCTCAGGGCGGGTAATTGCGTTGTAAATCTGCCCATCCAGATTATCTGAATAAAATAAAATATAAGATACAAGTCCCATACGAGGACAATTTAATGCCAATTAAAGCATTTGTGAGCGAAGTACATAACAAACAGTTTGCTGCTATCATTGGAATTACCCTAAGATAATACATAAATATATTTTCCAATAACATTGCTACATCACCGAAGACCTTCACTCCCACTTTTGGAAGCAAGGTTTCAGTTGGAGAGTCAGAAGAACCAAGCCTCATTGTCAAGCACAAAATACATTTGCTTGAACGAGTCGACATCGTACGGGTAAACACTTTCCTCCGTGGGCAGTCTGGAGGCCATTTCCGCTCCGCAGGACCTCTGATGATGCCCGCCGTTGCCCGCTTCCATCCCACTGTTGCCCGTTTCCATCGAGCTCGGTTCCAGCACGCTGGGCGGCGCCCCAGAAATAGCCGATAATGACGTTTTTGTGCCGGGCAGAGTCGAGCCATATTACCACCGTTAGCTGCAGCAGGTGCGCGGCCCGGGGAGAGGGGATGCAGCTCCGGGGGCTGGGGAGCCACAGGAGAGAGAAACACAGCTCTAGGGGGAGATGAAGGTACCACAGCCCAGGGAGATAGAGGCGCAGATCTGGGGACTGGGGAAGCCGCAGCCCAGGGAGAGGCAGGGTGAGGGAGCAGCTCTGGGCGAGGTAGCGATGGCCTAGAAGCGTGGGAGAGGCAGCCACAGCTCGGAAAGGGAGGGGATGGGAGGCCACAGCTGGGTGGGTGGGCTGGCAGCGACAACGCGGGGCAGTAATGGACCGAGAGGCACCTGGCACAGGGAAAAAATACCACGGGACGCCCCCCGCCCAGCGCTGTACTGCCCCAGCTCCAGCACAGCACTCAGTACTACGGGGCGGCCACCGGCCAGCACAGGACAGCAATAGAAAACAGGACGGCTAGCCAGAATACTACTGCGCCATATGGTGCTCGCCACAGCCCGTCGGTCAGTGTACCAATGGACGGCGAAACAGGGTGACCTATCGGGGCTGAGCCTCTGCGTCAGTGCACTCGTCTCCGACGCCCTATACTGTACCCCAACCAGCCACGTCCGTCATCCGCCGACATTTCCGCCGTCGTCTTTAACGAGCCGCAGTTAAAATAGGAAGGCAAATCCGGCTCCAGGTTTGGCTCCCGTGGGCGGTCGAATTATGGACAGATCGAAAATGGGACGGCCACCGGCAGCCGCAGAGCTCAGCCACATTTCCAAAGAGGATTGGGCTGATTAGCGAGGTATGGAGGAAGCTAAAATATGGAAGGCCAAAGCGATTTTTGAGTTTTGTGATACACGAACCGGCAAAAGAGTATTGGCAAGGGCTAGCTAGTATGAAGACGTAATATCATGTGCCGCATTCATGTTAGTGCCGGTACACAATATTACAATGATATCCGACCGTTAGTAAAATCAGAATCCTCAGAAGTGACGATCACAAATCCTCGCGATCATAAGTCCTCAAAGGGTCACAAGTGGTTTGTCGCGCCTATCCCATAGACAGCCGCGTGACTCCTTCCACTCGTCAGCAGAAGTCACGCTGCTGGGAAGACGCCGGTCTAACAGATCGACCACCGAACACACCCTGATCAACGTACAGCTCCGCGCCGCTAATGAACTCCGGTCCGGCTCAAATCTCGGCACACGTTCACCGAAAACCCTGCCAGCGACGAGAATGGAACGGTCCTCCGCCAGATACTTTACACACTGCGGTGGAGAGCGTCGGGCGTCGACTCTGGGACTGTTAGCATTGACCATTTGCGGAGAGGAGCAACGAACGACCGCGTCAATTAGTGAACACTGAACAGGGTAGTAGCCATTGCGATTTTATTTCATTTTATCATTTTTCCTCGCAGTGCGGTGAGCACTGAGCACTGAGTGCGTCGGTGAGAGGCTGGTGCTCACCGTTAAGCCGCGGTGTGCTGGCCGCTCGCTATGGTGAGAGGCTGGTGCTCACCGCAGCGTACTAGTGAGAGGCCGGTACTCACCGTTAAGCCGCGGTGTGCTGGCTGCTCGCTCCTCTGCTATGGTGAGAGGCTCGCTCCCCAGCTCCGGTAGGGTAGACACGCTGCTGTACACGCCATTCAGTGCGCTCCTGGAACAAAGGCACAGTGCCAGTCCGTTAGACATAGCACTCTTCACCAAATGCAGAGTACACAGAAGTAATGGCAAGCCACACACAGAAACGCGATAAAGGAGGCGGCACAATACTTGAACAAAAAAAAACCGATTGCCAAGCACAAATAAGGGCTCTTAAATTACTCTAGTAGCGGAGCACAACAAAGCACCTGCAACAAAAGCAAGGCAACGAGCTTTTTTGCTTTGCTAAAACAAATATTTCTTATTTGAGCCTCGAACTCCAGAAGACACCAAAAACAGATCAGCGTATGTTCTGGCGGTCGTTTCAGATGGTTCTGACAGCGGTATCAATCATTCCAGTGGTATCAGATAATCTGGCAGCGATACCAGTTCTGACAGCGGTATCAGACGGTTCTGATAGATGTATCAAGCAGCTCTAGCGGCAGTACCAGGCAGTTCTGACAGCGGTACCACACGGTTCTGGCATCGGTATCACACGGTTCTGGCGGCGGTATCAGATAGTTCTGACAGCGATATCAGACAGTTCAGGTGAAGGTATCAGTTCTGATAGCGATATCAGGCAGTTCTGGCAGCAATATCAGGCAATTCTGGCAGTGGTATCACACGGTTCTGGCAGGGGTATCAGTTCTGGCAGCAGTTTCCGACTGTCAGACCGCCGTACCACAGCTCGGCCGTCCCGTTCTCCGGTCCAGTAGGCCTCCGTCGCGTTACGATAGCGTCAGAGGTGATTTTCCGCCGTGTCGGGTCGCCGAGCTGGCCGGGACTGGCGTTATCAGAGGTCCGAGACTGAGAGCGCGAGGCCCGCGGCCATCCGGCGCGGCGCCCGCTGGACGGTGTCAGTGTGTCAGTGTCAGAAAGCCGGTGTCAGTGTCACAGTGCCGGTGTCAGTGTCAGAGTGCCAGCGTCTGTGTCAGAGTACCGGTGTCAGTGTGGAAGTGTCAGACTACCGGTGTCAGTGTCAGAGTGCTGGTGTATGTGTCAGAGTACCGGTGTCAGTGTGTCAGTGTCAGAGTGCCGGTGTCTGTGTCAGAGTACCGGTGTCAGTGTCAGAGTGCCGGTGTTTGTGTCAGAGTACCGGTGTCAGTATGTCAATGTCAGTGCCCCGCCGGTCAATACCAGTATGTCAGTGTCATAGTACACTCGGTGGCAGATTGATGTTCCACCACTCCCTCCCTAGTCCCTACCGCATCGGGCTCCCATGGCTCAGCACTGGCTGCTGCCAGTGTTGCCTGCCCTCAGCACTGCTCAGCACTGTCTGCCAGTGCAAGTGCTGCCAGTGCTGCCACTGGCAGCAGCCAGTGCTGAGCCATGGGAGCCCGATGGGTAGGGAGTGGTGGAACATCAATCTGCCCCCGAGTGTACCTGAAGCTGGCTTATTATTCGCTTATCTGAGTGAATACACAGTACCCTTCAGCATCTCTAACATCATTGATATAATCAGCAATAGCTCAGATATTTATGGAATTTCTAAATATCTGTCAATTTTCATCATCATTGTGATGATGTGCAACTTACATACCTATTAACTTTCAACATGCTGAGACCGTATAAGAGCCGACTTACAAGATACGACGGACTTTTTATCTTCGTTCATGCTCATAAGCTCCACGGGGAGTTAATGAAGACTGACCGAGCCATTCAGGGCAGCTAGATATGCCGAGAAACAATGCTTTTAGCCAGCTTTTCGCGAGTGAGCATCATTCGCTAATCCAGCTGAGCTCGTGGACAAGTTCGATTATGTCTTAGCAGTTCTCACACCGGCACTGCATCAAAATAATTTACGGATCACGCAAATGAACCTTCTTTGAAACAGACCAGAGATTCTGATGAATTTAGCTGTGTGGTGGATATTGTTTGGGCGGTCCGGTGTTAGGTTAGATGTAATTAGAATATGGGATGGAAAGAAATGGTAACAAATAGAACGTTTTGGAATCGTGGACGATAGCTAAAGACAGCTATATGTTCGTGCAATTTACATGGCATGAGCCAGGTATCATCTCGGGCGCGATTGGCCGTGAGTCACTACCCTCGATCGACCAGCGATCCTCCTATGGCGACACAGATTTCCAGTCTCGCCGGCGACTTGCGCATCCCCTGATCCCGCGTCACGTTTTAGCGGCACACCTGCCACCTCACTGCGCCAAATCGAATTGTACGAACCGACCGACCGGTGTCGGCACAGAAGCCGCACCGTACTAACTGAGTCGACCAGCCGCCTTTGAACGGTGAGCGTATTCAGCGCCCGTTCCAGACCTGCACGGCACCGGCGTCTCGACATAATCAAACGGCCAGGCGGGCGCAGCCAGGCAATCGAGTTGTCCAGGTAACGAGAAAGCGACTGAGAGAGGGATATTCTGATCCACAGAGCCACATCGAAGCGGATATATCGCACAGGCATGCGCGGCAAGCTGGACGAAGGAAATCACCACGAGGGAAACCGCAATGCTCACTTGTCAAAAACTATCACCCGTGTTGCGTGGTACTGGTAATAAACGGATCAAGATTAAACGTAATCTACAAGATGTTAACGGTGGGCCCGGTGACGACTATGTGGCCGAATGGCAAGTCCGTGGTCACACGCAATAAGCTACGCTTTGAGTGCACGGCTGCCCTTTAGTCATTCAAACTAAGTCCATCATAAAAATTACAGCCTGGTCAGCTTTCGTCCTAACTTAAAGGCACAGGAAACACGCATAAGCATACCTAAATTTCCAACTGCGACACCACTGCGACACAAGCTACAGTTTACAAATAAACCGATATTTCATGAGCACGCCGACGTTGGAGGCCTAGCAAGACGGGGAAAAGGCAAAAAAAAATCCCTGATACTGAGTGAGAAGGCAATAAGTGCAGGAACGCAAGACAATACGACGAATCATCCATAATTGCATTTTACTTATTCGTTCCGATGTTAGCAGACAGCACGTAAGATCGATCGAAGGGTAAATGTTGGGTCCTATAAACATCGTAATTTTCCTAAAATAAGAAGAAAAACCACGCATGACAGGATCAACCTCTCAACCACCATGGGCACTCCCGCGTACCACAAGACGTAGTGCCCATCACCAGACATCTGATATCTGATATCAGATATCTGAACGGTAGGCCACTGGCACCGACGATCATTGCCCGACTCCAGCAGCCCAGTACCTACAGACCAAAGCACCACGAAGGAAAAGTAATAGCTCCCTAGAGGCTTAACCAATCTAACCCACAATATAGGGAGCGGCAGAGGTCAAAACAGACCTGAATTTGTTCACACCACCAGGCACCATACGGCAACTCCGACAAACCAGACAATATCACATATCCTCCATCAAATTCGGCAGAACTAAACCCACAATGTGGAATCTGGATCGCATCCTCGGACAGACATTCAAGAAGCGCAGCGCGCCATCCATGAGGCGTCCATTCATCACTGTAAATCGGGCAGTGCCCAGTAGCGGACCAGAAAGGCTAGAAAGGCTGCCTCGACTCTCGAGCGCTGGGAGGGGGAGATAAAACTTTATCAGAGTCAAAACAAACCTCCTCTTCCGTTTAATTTTCTGTGTTGCGTCTTTGCCAGAGCACTGTTGCTAAAAATGACTGCTTCCTTTTCTGTTCGAGAAAGGCGACTTTTACAAAGTTCGGACGCTGTGAGGAGGAGGCAGATTCAGGGACCTCCGTGAGCCCCCTGAATCTGCCGATGTCCGGGGTCGCGCAGACCCATAGCCAACTGACCGCGCCGTATCGCGCTATGAGTTTACACAGCGGCCGACAATCACATGGTCATCAGCGGCACTGACGGGTTTTCCGCCGTGACCTCACAATATCGCAAATTACGTCATTGGACCGATGACAGCCCACGTCAGCACATGTCATGATCCGCCGAGTTTGGCGGCAGCTCAGCTTGGCGGAGCGGTGGGGATAATCTGCGGTATAGAGTTATATCGGCCGACATTGACGAGACAGTGGCGAAAAATAGACAAGGCGGCGGCCTGAGCTCCTCTTCTGGCCAGAGGGAGGGCTTACAATTCTATAAGAGGACGGCGACCTTCGAAGATAAGTGCCAATCAACGAATAACTATTACAGGGAAGAGGGAAAGCGGCCAGTATGGAGAAAGTAATGTTACCAGTGTCATTGCCCAGTGCTTCTATGGAACAGTGGAGAGCAGGCGCTTCCGCGTAAAAACGCGGCATAAATAAAATGTGTTCGCAAAAGCTAGCAGCCCTGCATGACCACCCAATCAAAGCACATTAGACAGAACTGTGAACAAGACACCTGTGTCATCAGACAGCGCCATTCCAGCGCAGCAGGCAGAACTGTCAGCCAGACAGTCCCATCACAGCGCAGACAGTCTCAGACACTGTGAGCTGACAGCGGTGTCACCCTCCCAGCGCCCCCCCCCCCCTGTCAGCAGGCAGCGCGGGCCGTCATAAGGCATTACGGCGGAGCGCAATGGCCGCTCTGGCGAGATTAATGGTCGCCGACCCCGGGGACACCATTACACGGCATCATCCCACATCCGAAAAGGTCCGGCAGTAACCATCATCCATGACATCCAGAGCTGGGTACGACTACTTCCGACTCGTTATCTGCAATATTATTGAGTGCTCGGACAGCTGTAGGTCAAACGGTTCCGGGTCGTTATCCCGAAGGTACCCAAGGGATTGCAACAGACGACGTTTTTGTGAGTGTCTAAGGGCATATTCAGTGTCGCTTTTTCTGCGAGAGAAAAGCCAACGAGACGGTCGGAAGAGAGCAAGACAGACAGTTTGCCGACACAGACGGGTGCAAAAAGTCAGACACTCGCCTCATAAATGAGACGTAACCACTGAAAACAAGCCAGCAAACCTTGCCTAGTATTGCGACGTGGCTGCAGGCACGCTATTCTAAATGTGTAAACAGTTTATCCGGTTGGAATCGCTCAACTCCCCCATCATTCGTTATCTTTGTGAGCAAAACAATGTGAAAGTTTGTTCTGAATAAATTTTCAAAATAGACGTAGGCCTCATGAGGCCTCATGCATTCCATTATTGCTGGGTACTGTGGTATCTTCTTTCCTATACGGTTTGAGCTCAACGCTGGCTTTCAAGCATACGAACATCCTGCTCAGAAAGGGAAAAACTATTTTCTTTTTGACAAAAAAAGCGATGCCGCCGGTCTTTGTTTCCTAGATACTTTAACTAAACGCCCGAATGGAGCCTGATAAATTGTCGGCCCAAGCGCTAGAGCCTGGGGGAGAAGTGTGGTACAATTCACGCGGTTTTCGAATGCCTGAATTTATGCATTCGATTGCGCAGTGTGATATGTATAGGAGAGATCCTGGCTGTGCCCGTTAGTTCCAGGACGGTTTGCAGGTATAGGCTCCTGGACTGAGGAATAGGATGCTCTATCCGCAGCTGGTCTGAGCATAATCTATGTATAGCAGCTGGTCTGACGAAAATCAGTGACGTGGTATTAGGGTATGCCGACATCATGGGACACCATGGGACATGGTATCAGTATGGGGACCGTATGTGATCGTTGCTGGACTGCCACTCCTGTGACCGTTTTGTAATCAGTTCGCGACCATCCCTGGTCCGAACGTGCATGTATCTGAGAGACCGGACCTTCCTCTCGGTCCCATCCATCGGTCACTAAGACAGACGACGCGCCGCCGACCTCTGTGCCGACCCCGCTGCCAGCACACGGCCCAAAGGTCACTGGTGCCGCGCCGGCGGCGGGTGCCACCATTAGTGGTCGCCCCGAGCCGCCGCGCGTCCGCCGGCCGGCCATCTATTGACCACGCGCGCTCGCAATGCATATCAATACGGCGGGCGTGTTTGTTTAACCAGAGAACGTGAGGCGCCGCCGCGCCGAAAAATATGTGTAGGCTATTCAGGGGCGCAACGACCGTGAGGCAGAACAAACGTCCATAGAAACGCGAGCGACACGATGTGAATGAAGGACAGCTCCGGTCAATAATCCATAACAGGATCAGCACGCAAAGTGTTTTGCATGTGACCGTCGAATGATGTTGCTACACAGACGAATGTCGAAAAACGGTGCCGAAAAAACGCAACTAGACAAACTTTTCGCGTCACAAAAATGCGTTTTTGCCAAAGCGTTTTTTCGCAGGTAGATAAAAGTCGACGTCAGTGTAAAAAAGGGAGGGAAGTCAAACCACTGAAATGACAAAACTGACTTGAGACTGGTCTGATCAAACGTAAATGGGAGATACAATGAAGAAGTGCCAACAATCCAGAATTCGTGAATTGCGTGCTCATTCGAGCTCTTTTCTGCGTGACTGTCACAGCGTTGGGAAAGCCGGAACTGAAACAGTCGAAATGAAAACAAATTGAAACCCTATGTAGCACTATAAACCAGTTGTAGACGAAAATAACGACAACAAACATACAGGAGCATTAGGCATGCTTTTCCCCGACATTTTTTTTTCGTATAATGGGAACGGTAATCAAGAAAGTCCGTTTTCATCTGGATCTATAAAAACTACATTTTCATGGATACATCATCATCAGATATGCATGGAAAAATGATAACGCAACACTAGCATAATGATGCTTTTGAAAGACCGTTGATTACACGACTATGAGTAATGGTCTCGGTAATTCAAAAAGAGCTAAAGCTTCAAAAGAGATATTGCACTATTCTCCATCACAAAGACATATGCCTGGAAGCAATTAAGCCTTGTAAAGAGATATCGCCTTCAGCTATGCAAGACGGGCTCAGCGGTAAGATGGCAACCAGCCAAGGACAGTTAAAGTATCGACTTTTTTGTCGAACTTATAGCCACAAAAGCCGGCACAACATTGTAGATCGTACATGACGGCATATCAAATGCCGCCAGTACATAATTCAAATTATGAGCCACGCTTGCGATAGAAATTGCACAAGATCAACATTGAACAATCCAATGACAGGTTTTGTGCTAAATAAGTTGTTCAACTTAAAAGTTATTTGTCTGAAAAGAGAGCTGTACGCAGACCGTCCCTGCCGACAGGGACGGTCGTCCCCTGCCCCCTCAAAAAAGTATATATAGGCATATCATAAAGCAAGTAGCATCCTAGCTATTGGTGGGACTGTCCGCCATGCATTACTGAGTACTTATTTGTTTACCGGGATTTTAGGGCGCCGACGGCAGCCCAGGCCCCTGTGCGCCCCGTGCCTTACTTGAGTTTTCGGATCTGCCTCTGATGTGTGAAGTGCAGCCGGGCCAGCTGGCGCTCGTTCATCAGCTGCTGGTGGGCCCTCTCGGCGCGCAGTCGCTGCTCCTGCACTGCCAACTGCTCGGTGACTCGCCGCTGCACCTCGTGCTCGATAAACGCGCCCATTCTGCGGTGACACGGGACATCATGAGGTGAGTTGGGTCCACGTTTCTATTCCATGATACAGGGAACACATAGGCAAGGCATGCGCCTGAAATGCCGTAACAATGGACAAAAGAGTGCCACTTTCCCTCTCTTACTGTATATGAGAAGAGTAGAGGTGGCTACTGGCTACTGGCAACTAATACCAGCAACTCAAACATCCTCATCGATAACCCTCACGATAAATGTGAGGATTTTAGTTTCATGGGCACTCAGGGGTAAAACAAACGGCTAAACGTCGATGCAAGGAGGAGCGATGCTTCTCGTTTAATAAACATCAAAAGGCACATCTGTATCACTGCTAAATAGGTCCTTTAGCTTTGGCAGCTACTGACCCTTAAAACATTACCCCGCTAGCGAGCCTGTGCAGCTACAGTCACTCCAATTATTTCCACTACAGACCGAGCCCCTAACGTCGCACGCAATCGCTGGGATTGCCGTGAATGGGCCATTGAGCCGGGCGGCACTAGCATCGCTCGCTACACCAGCGGCCAACGGTACTCAGCTCGGTACGAGCGGCCCGCGGTACTTACAGTTCACTGTCAGAGCCCAGCTCGATGGGACTCTCCAGACTGTCGGCCTCGCTGTCACCGGTCTCTGCCCCGGCCGGCGGCGGGGCGCTGTCCGATGTCAGGCTTGCCGAGTCCGCCGGCACACCGCCCACTCGTAGTGGAGATGGTGACGCCGGCGGCGGTGAGGGTGTTGAAGGCGACAGCGCGATGCCGGGGGCTCTAAGCGCCGGTGAGGCGGTGTCGGCCTGCGGAGAGCGCCGGCCGGCCGCGGCACAGGTGCGGCACACGGAGGATGAGCTATCGGCAGGGACGGTCTGCGTACAGCTCTCCGGTAGTGACCCGGGAGTCCTCAGGTCAGGAGAACTCCCCTGACCGGGCGGACGTTCCGCCACGGCACAGGACCGCTCAGCCGCACCAGCACCGTTCGTAAGCTCCTTTGTCTGTCCACCCGGGTCGTCGTCCTCCCCGATGGGGTCGGTCGGGGCGGGTCCAGCGGCCAGTCCACCGGCCGGCGCAGTCTGTAGCAGAGGGTCACCGAGCACAGAGAGCCGCGCTCGGCTGAGAGACGGCTGACTGCGCTGGCGAGCACGAGACAGCTCCCGGGCGCTGCCCCAGGACAGCCTGCCGGCAGATGAGCGATTCGTCAGGCGTCAGGGGGACGAAGGTAATGAAGATTGGAAATCAGGGTGGTAATGCTGGTAATGAGGGGGGGGGGGGGGCACCGGTCCAGGGATGCAATATGATCAGTGTGGCGAGGGTTAAACTTTCACAAATATTGAAGTTTTAGGCAGAGACGATCATTTCTGCAGCCATCACTGGCCTGTGCACCATCACATTTGACAAATGACCATGTTTGAGCGACAAAACTGTATCACTGAGAGACCGCGTGTTTGACCCGAAGTTACAATAGCTCGCAATTTTGACATCATTTGACATTATCTGACATCATGTTGCACCAGCTAATAGTCGGCTGCGCCAGCCTTTCAGAGCGTCTATTTACCATTCATACTTGTCATTACAGAAAAAAGTCCAGTCATCGGAAAACTTCGCAACCATGTTTGCTCGTGTATTAAAGACCCGCATTCGATACCTTGCATATCGCATCATGTTGCAGCAGCCACCATTCAGCGCATTTTAATAGACAACTGAAAATGCACTTAAACTTTGTTCGCTGTATACAACTGGGCACAAACTTTGTTCCAATCCTGAAAGCTTTGCAGAAACATACAGAACTTTCGAAGCCACCTGAATCTCTACTACCTGGCACACATGTAAATCATTCAAGGAGAGCCAATATTGGGTTGTTTGGAAAACACGTTTCCTTATACCAGCGACTCGACTTCTGAAAGCAACCCCAGCGCGCATATGTCTTCACGGAACTGCGACGCGTGGGCGACGGGGCGTGTTGATTTGGTGCTCTGCTGGGGATAGTTGGACCTCACAAACATGTGATTAGAGTCTCTTGACATTGACACAGTTCGTATCCAGTGTCTACCTGTCCCACAGAATTACATAATATCTATATTCGTATGGCTTCCCACCTCCGTTTACTGAGTCGAGACACGGCTTTCGTATGGCCGCAGCATCTTAGTCCTCATTTCAAAAACAAAGACCGCGTCTCCTTGTCGCGAAATTACAACGGCTCGTGGAGAGATGGGACGTGTGTGTTTGCTTCAGCTGGCTCGTAGTGTTGAGATTAATTGCGATACACGCGCTGCGTACAACCAACAAACGGGGGAGACACTCCAAAACTGACTTGCGAAACCTGAAACGCTGATCACCGATTGAGCCCCTATGGCAATTAATGTTAGGATTTTACACCACCAGAATAGATTGAGGAGACATTGGAGGGACTACTCCGCTTGCACACAAAAAAAGTTGGCAAGATACCTATCGCAATGATTAGTGACTACGGAGCTCGCTAATGTCGTACTCCCCTCCCCAGGCATGTGCACGGTTAAAAAACCAGCTACACCATGAAGATAAGGTACAACTAGCAAACACCTACTGCACGCGGCATCTGCAAGATCAAATACAACGTTTCATTACAGCCATATGTAGAGCCAAACGCATACAATCAGGCGTAAGCATACCGATGTTTGCCACTGAGGAAGCCCAACATTCGCTAAGGTTGACGATAACAACTCCAATCCAGACGATGAGATACGCCATCGCCTATCTCAACTTCGCAACGCTCTTCTGAGCTGCCCCGGATGTGCTGCATTGACAATCCCCGGTTTGAACACAGCTCTGCGGCGACAAGGAGACACTCTGAGTGCTCCAAATGTCACCGACAGACCCGTCCGGCCACCAGACAGCCGTCGTCGTCCTCCAGGTGACATTTGAGAAACGCTCGAAAATAACAGACCGTCAGCGCCAGAGCGCGGCGATTCCCTGGGGGATTCACGTCCCTCCAACTCTGGCTCAGAACTCAGCGGCGCGAATGGGGAATGGAACACGTTTCAGAGGGCCTATCAAAGGGACTGTGAAAAACAAAACACCGTTGGGAGAATACCAACAACGTATAAATAGGGGATGAGCACGGCGCCACAGGACATTTCACGTTTCAGTTCACCTTTCAGCAAAGAAGCATTCAAAGATGACGCGATTCATTTTTAACGGAATAAATTTAACGTTTTTACATAACGATTCCTAGTCCTAGAATTAGAACAGGTACTCTAAACATTGCCGATACAATTCACATGTCTTGAGCTCGGCACCGCATGTGACTTACAATGCACTTCATTTTCCTTCAATCATTCCAGGTCCAGTAATCCTACATCACGACTCCCAAGGCAACTTCGTCAAACTGATTCATACGATATATTGAAGTCAGCACCACGGAGCGACCCAGCAATTCCCTCACAGGCTGTCTCGACCCGTCTCTGTATTAGCAGACCGTCCCGAGGGTGTTGTCTCAACGACAGACGTATCAAAGCCGCCCAATCAGCGCCGTGCCGAGAGCGACCGGAGCGGCCCTCCGCAGAGTGTCGGGAGTGTCGCCGCCGACACTCCCGACACTCTGAGAGCGCGTCCGGGCCCGGCGCGGCGCTTTGATCGATCGACACCCGCCCGCTGGCGGGAAGGTCGTCCCAGCTCGGCCGCACAACAACAGGTCGGCACCGCACCGCAGCTGGCGCGCCCGCATCCGACGACGGAAACCACACGCTCGTTCACGCAGGGCGGCTGCGATAAATCGGCACCCACCGCGCGCCGCTCGGCCCAGCAGAAATGGTATCCACATACGGGTGAGCCGCGAACTGCAGAACGACGAACGGCGAACCGGTGAACTAACGCGGAGACGCGTGGGAGGCGAGATTGGATGGCATTAGTGGGACTGCACTGCACATCAAATGAAAGGAGAGGAGTTCATTATCAGCTATTTCGAGCTGCCTAGGAAGGCAGGTCAAACCAAATTCCACGAACAAGCATGTCTACTGAGGATTTCATCAGTGCTGCTAATGCCTGGTTTCTACTTTCTGCGGTGCTCACGTTTCTGTTATTGGCGGGATGTTCCACCGTATTCCCAGTGCTCCGCCCCCGTCTCCAGACGGCCTGTTAGGCGGTGCACGGGCTGTTCTCTGAAGCCGCGCGAGCCACAGGAGCTGGGACAGAGATAGACTCAGCTTAAGGGCTTTGTAAGAAGCGAGCTGGCGACCCAGCGGCTCCGCGCAGCAGATGGGATTTTCACCGGATTCTCCGCTATAGCCAGCTACGAACCGCGAAGGTGGCAATCGACCCAGCACTTGATTCGAACCAGCTCACGTCTTCTCAGTTCTTTTCGTTATGGAAAACAAAAACATTGGGTGAAACATGAATTCAGCTGATGAGCTCTGACAAAGCACTGCCATCTTCTTGGCTTTCCAGGCACGAAGTCTGAAAGTCCCGAGGCTCCTGTGCGAAATCACCGGCCATAGATTTCGCGAGGACGAACGTCGAGTTAGAGTTTGTGGTGGAGCACAGTTCTCTAGCGTCAATAACCGTCCACAGCAGGCGGCGGAGGTCCACAGCGAGCGGTTCAGGCCGGCGATCGTCAGGCCAGCCCTGTTAGATGTCTGTCCCACTCCGCTCCTCAGCGCCAGTCTGCCGGCCGGTGTTCGGTCAGCACCATCCCCGCGACCGCCCGGCCCCTCCGCCGCCGGAGGCGTCTTCATTAGACGCGCCCGTCATCCCGCCATTGTGGCCCTCATTCCCGGCCGGACGTTCATAATGGGAGGCGCTGAGGGCCGGCCGCCAGTGGTGCGAGACGGTCGCCCTTTGAATACCACGAGGAAATGTCAGCAGTGGCTCTGGGCGCGGACTGCGCGACCAGAGTTCAGAGCAGGTGGTGGAGCTATTGGACTGACCGGCGCGAGACTGACCGGTCCCAGACGGCGGCAGAGCGCCCACTGGTGCGGTAACTGACTCCTCCCATAGGGCAAACTGATGAAACGGGTCAGATACGGAGAAAAGGTGGCGACTGTCCCGGTGTAAAAACTAAATGTCTGCGTAACTCTGGAGACGCGATGGGACTTTGAAGAGATGAAGCGTTATGAAACCACTGACGTAAGTCCATGAAACTGGATTAAGAAAGAAGGCGGCATTAATATTCTCGTCTCAATAGAAATTGAGCTACCTGAACGGACAGTGGACACTGGACACTCCTCTGGCGGCACCACCGGTCACATGTCACCCAGCCTACCAGCAGAGCGCCCAGCGGTCTCCAGCGCCGGCGGTGAGGGCCCGTTTCCGGCGTCTGGGCCGGGGCCAGCTGCCGACCGCCGGTCTCGCGCGCCAAACGAGGTCAATTATGAGCGCAGCCGTGCCCCGGCAAAGGTCAGCCGATGCATGGGGCCGCCGCTGGTGCTGGCACAGGCCGGGGACGCCGCAGATAAATGACGTGCGCCACGAAAGGTCGGCGGCGCGCCGAGTTCCCTGGTGAGGGGGCGGTGCGTCCCAGTGACCCGAGGGTCATCGCCCCACTGCCCCGGAACAGCCATACGGGCGGAACGAGCATGCATGACTAGATTGGAGGATCACAGGAAATCTCAAATGACACTTTTTGTTTAAATATGGGATTCAATTAAACATCCTTTCAATAAAGCACCCATAGTTTCTGCGACCCTTTGTTCCAGCACACTGTCTCTAATAAAATTATTGTAAATCAATACCCCACCACTGTATAAATACTGGTCCATGTTCGTTCCTTCCTTTCCGAGGTGCTACATTAGCCTATTTTTACATCGTACCAGCTCAGCACTATCGCCATCGCTCGCGCTAATGGTCCCACACATAGCGTGAAACGCTCACGATAACAGATGGGCTACCAGGATCAATCGTAGAACAAAGACGAGCCGTCCAACTATAGAGCACCGCTCCCCAGGGGCCTGGGAAGGTTCAGCCGAATCGCAGCGCTAGATGTGGCGATCTGATAGCTGCACTTTTAATCAGCTCACACACGCTAGCTGGCGACATATTGTCGGCTTAGAATCAGGGGCTGCGGCTTATCCTGGTAACATAACAGACCGAAATGCAGCAGGCGAAAAGTGATGTAAGTGCTATTAATTACTATTTCATTAGTGTTGCATGCAACAAGTAGTTCATTATGAAGCATTTTATACTGATTAAAGTATTAAAAATTGTAAATAAAAATTGTTAATAAAAATGGGTATGTGCTGTAGACACAAAAACTCCAGACTAAAAAAAACGACTCCAGATTTTTTTTTCAAAACAAATGTCAAGCAATATCATCAGCTATACAAAGCTCTTGAGTCATCGACTTCAGAGATAATGGACAATTGTTATATGATCGGCCAGCAAAGCGCTGGTCGCGTAAAAAGATAAAACATTCCATTTGAAACGAAGATTGACAATAACACGCACGCAATTCTGCAAACACGGATGTGCCTAAGTTTAATAATGTCTTTCTATCAAGGCAAAATGACAGTTCAAACGATGGCACGCTATTGAACAATAATGTGATGAAAGAGACTATTTAGGACAACAATGTACCGAGACAGCCATCAATTATCTAACAATGTTTGTCAATTTATAAACAGCCCGCAGTTATCCAGAGCCGTCACGTTTTGTGAATGAAAAAAATATCCAATTTTGCATGGGCCGTAACCTACTTGCGATACTTGGAGGCATAACAACGGAACATGCAAGTCAGTTTTCGTATGTTTAATATCATTGGCATGGTATATTTGCTTACTGAGCGCCCTGACTGACCTTTTCTCGGCGGTCAGCAGGCTCTCGACGCTGCGCGTAGCGGCCAGATCACAGGCAGAGAGGGAGAGTACCGAGAGCCGGGAGGAGGCGCGGCGCACGCCGGCCCTCCTCAGTCGCGCCGCCTCTGCCGGACTGTTGTACCGGAACATGGAGCATTCGCCCAGCGTGATGACGCACCCTGCGGACGGAGGGAGAGGGGAGAGTGAGTGAGTGAGTGAGTGAGTGAGTGAACGAGTGAGAGAGAGAGAGAGACAGAGAGAGAGAGAGAGAGAGAGAGAGAGAGAGAGAGAGAGAGAGGGAGAGAGAGGGAGTGAATGAATGAGTGAGAGAGCGAGGGGGGAGAGGGGGAGAGAAAGAAGGAGGGAGTGAGTTATACCGGGTCTGAACTTGAAGAACAGTAAAGCAAGGGAACACCTAATTACAGTCTCTAGAGCAGTACAGCTACAGAGTACCTACCACTAGCTACACGTCACAAGCCAAAGGTCATTGAAGTAAAGGGCCATTGAATGCCGCACACAGATCCCAGCCTATTGTATCACGAATCTATGCTCTGAAGCACTTGAATCAACCGTCGCCCACCACAGGTTCAAGGTCGCATATCACAGACATTGGACAGTTGGTAATGACGCGTGAGATAGAGCCAAGCTAATTAAACCACTCTGTGGGGACACTACGCAATACACACCATAAATGAAATTAGGTACGTTGTCAGAGTAATTGGGTCTTGTTTGAAGTGTTATTACTTCATCACTGTGATACCAGCATACAACGATAGAGGAAATTAAGTGCAGATTGCAAAGATAGCTGAACATAATTTTGCATTATTTCTGTGCAACGTATGATGCAACCGTAAAAAGATAGAACATTTAAGCGAAAATGGCAAAAATAATTTACGTAAATCTGATCTTTTTAGTTGGAAAGTAAGCAGTAATAATGTCAAAAAGAATACCGACATGGCTAACCAACTATCTAACATCTATCATCACTCCCGGATCGACTTAGTAAATGACACTATACAAGACTGAGCTCAAGTAAAAACATACAATACAACAAACGAAAGAAGAAACATAACACGCTAGAAAGCATGATCACAGGTAGATAGATCTTTCCAAGTAAGCCAAAATGTCTAAGATTCCCCCACAGTTTACTGAACACCATATCCCCATTTCCTCAGAACATCGTTTCCCTCTATACCCCGTGACATTTGCGTCTTTGAGGGTCGTTTGCCAGGCGGGCCAAAACAGGTCCATTATCCTCTGGACATCCTTAGTGTAAACAGCTCCGACCCGTGGCGTCAAAGGCGTGATCTGGCGACCCAGTGTCACAGGCTGTTGGCGTGCTTAAAGCCGCCGGACACGCTATAGAACGGGGGTCACGGCAGCACGCCATCTTTGACGCCATTCCTGCTGGCGACACGCCGAGAGAAACGTAAGACGGGCACGACGGCATCTACAAACACAGATCCGTCTCCGTGTCCGGCACCTACTTTAGAGACGTGTCTGCTACGTAAGCACCGCGCATCATCCTACGCTTATGTGGTAATAACTCAAGTTTGAAACAGGCTCAGGCACCGCACACCACTACGCTTATGTGGTAAGAAATCGTACTTCTTATCGTAACAAGCTTCTATCGTATCACCAAAAACAGGTGACGCTGCATGCAGCGAACAGAATAAAACCAATGTAACCTAGCAGAGGCAATGTGACTAGCGACGTAGGAGTCACTGGAGGGCGTGGAGGCGTTATCCTTCCCCGGAAGAGTATACGTATGTGACTGGGACTATGAGCAGCAGGGGCAGTCGACGACCAAACGACCGTCTAGAAGTCGGTTTGTTTCGTTCCAACCGATAGAAGCTGACTGAAGTGCCAGAAGCTGCAGAAATTGAACGATGGGCAATGACCTATCTCGGTTCGAGTTCGCTCTGCGCAGTAGCCTGTGCCTGCAAACATCACTAAGACGTAGTTCGAATGAGCTATTTGTATCCTATGCGGAGAAGTAGACACTTTCCGTAGCAACGCTGGGCAGTGGGCAAAGTTTCGCCACGATCAGACACCCATGGGGGGGGGGGGGGGGTCACACCGTTCATGTCTTTACAAATATGTAACAGCGATCAACTTTTCAATAAAAGCAATGTGTTTTTTTTCTTATGGCAAATCCCAAAAGGATATATTTCTCATAGAAAAACAAACATCCGTTCTCCCAGCACTCCTTTGATCAGGCGTCCAGCTACGCATGCAATGTCTCGGAAATAATAAATATTTATGCAAATAAATATTTGCATACGCCTACTTCCAAGTAGGAACACCCTCACATACGACACTCGAGTCCCTAACGGAAGTCCAGCCCTGGGCTCAAAGTTCCTCTTTGTTACTCTGCCATCGGCCTACAATGGCCCTGGATATGATGCTGCTTCACTCAGTGGCGCTTTTAGGAGAATGTTCAGTGATGACACACGCATTCAGTGACATACCTACATCAATGTCAGCAGGCTTTCAGCGACAGAGGCGGTCAAATTTCTCCCGCGAGTCGCAGACGGAATGTAAAATAGCTCGGTCAACGTGTTTGCAATGCTAAGGTAGCGCTCACGGAATATAGCGCTGGTACACAGAGTTAGTTTTCTCGCATCAAAGACACGCACATATTGAATCAAAAGGAGACCGCCATATCTTGACAGCAACAGACAGATGTGTGTTTCTACAGATCATCGAATCAAACATTCCAAACTTCTAAAGCAACAATCAAACTATGTGCGACTCGGCTTTTGCGCCGCAGCTCACCGATATCAAACAATGCAAACTTCCAGCTCCATGGATTCCGGGATAAGTTTGGAGCGACACATCGCGAGTCAGACAGGTGAAGGCTGGGAGCCGGCAGTGATCATCTGACCTCCGACCACACTCAGTGGGAATCCTCTTACTCCCGTGGGAGTTCTGTAAATTTATACCGATGTTATTCCGTCGATTCCGCGCAATGCCTCGCTGAGACAGGGTATCTCAGTGACTCGCGGCACGCGAACACGCAATCAGCGAGCTATACCACCGACATCGATCTAGACCACTGTCATTACGTCTTACCGCGCCCCATCACTTCCCTCAGCGTCCTAGCAAGGCTTACCACCGCATCCCACGGCAACCACTTCATCCCACCTTTTTCCATTGCGTCCCAACCCGTCCCAATGTACCCCACGGTGTCCCATCGCACACCGCAGCGTGCCATCACCTAACATGGCCAACGTCTGCATGCTTCCCATTGCATTCCACCCCGTCCCCATGACGTTCCACAATGACCATGACACCTTTTCGCGTCCCATCGCATTTCATTGTCCCACCCAGAACACCCGAAAGTCCCGACCAAGATGGCCCCCGGCCGATCACACACCACCCCCCAAGCGGCGTGCCCACCTGCTGACCCAGTCCTGCTGACCACTGTGGGTAGATAGGAAAGACGCGCACTGCACGGCACACGTCAGTGCCCCATATGTACAGCGATACAGCGTTTGTTTACAACGTTACTCCGATACCGCATTTCAAACTTTGGATGCGTGAATGCGTGTTTTTGGCAGTGAATCAAAACTCGGCTGAAAGTTACCGGGATCAGTTATTTTGCGATCAACTAGTGCAAGTTTCGTGAAATTGGAGAGTGTTGAAGAGTTTGTACCGCGCCACCAACTTCGTAACGAGGCCTTTCAAAATATGAAAAAGCTGGTTCCCTAAGGTAATGCTTTCGAAGATGTTAAAAAAGAACACATCTTACTGCCGAAAATTTGGCTGAGCGCCGAGCGGTGCTTTTCCAAGAGGAGCACTGTATTCACTGATCTTTGTATTTGCAGAAAACGGCAGCAGCACTGGTCCAAACACCTCAACATGACTGAACCTATATAAATCTCACTTCTGTCCTTTTATCATTCAACTTTGTTCATTGCTCTTCTCCATGTAAAACTCCGTCGTGTGTTACTAAAACAATGAAAGACATTCTTCTGAATTCACCATTCAGACAGTGAATAAAGCTGCCTCCAGAACACGAGACCACAGCTGGAATCGCCCGTTCCACCTCATCGGAGCACCTCACCGCGGAATGACCGCACTCTGAGCCTTTCCAGCACGTCTGGTCCGAAAAGGCCACACGAGATTAGAAGAGTCGTCCACCTGCGTCACCATAGGCTACCGTCTAACATTGCCAAATTCCGAGCCCTTTGTGACCCGTCTACCTCCGCTCCATAATTAGATGCAGATAGATTGTTTCAACATACCCTTCAAAGTTACGGAGCCTTATCAGGAAGTTTTGGGTAAAGTCTGAAGTTGTGCCAAGTAATTTCTTGGATAGCAGACTCTGACTTCCATGATAATTCAATGATAAGGCTTATCTTGAGCGTCGCATACACTGCATTTATTTTTCAGCACGTGCTACGAATGTAGCCTCCAAGTGCCACGTGGGCACTAACTTCTTGGCATTTCTCGACAATTTCAGCTTTTAGGCGTGCAACGAGATTCCGGCACCCTTTCAAGCATTTCTTTTCGTCTAATGATGCTGATCAATAATGAAAAAAGTTAAAATGCCACATTAATTACAAACGAGCTCGCCATAAGTAGAGGATCTGGCACTGCACTCAAGTCTCCCTTCCAGCTAACCTTGCCACTCACGGCGCACTTTGCATCTCGCACCATTTGCATTCTTCCATCACCCGTGGCCTACAGCTGCTCTTTGCTCTCCTCCATGAATCTGTCCTCTTCCTCCCCTGTTCATCTACTTCCACTCTCCAACTGTCCTCTTCTGTCTCTAGCCTTTCCGCTCTCTATTCCCCGTCCTCCGTCCTCCACCGTTCCTACTGGCCGGCGCCCGGCGGCATTCATAGCGCGCCGTGACGCCATTAGGTGCCCGTGTCGCCATCGACGCGTCGATCCGCCAGTCCCCGGGTCACCGCGCGGCGGTGTGAATGGCACAGGCGGGCCCCAAACACGGCGGCCGATTACCGGCGCACCGTCAGTCACGCGGCGATCCGCTCTGAAAGGTCGCAGCGCCGATCCGGGGGCGGACAAAACAGCCATGACCGCGCGCCTGTGCATGTGAGTAATAAGAATGATGCGTGGCAGACGTCGGACGCTGTCCACCTACCACTGCGACCACTAGCTTGCGGCCCAGGTGCTACTCGCGACTAAATCGAGCGACGCGCCCGACAGGGCGGGAGAGGATGAATGTTCTGCCGGGCCGGGACAGCTGCCACTGACCGATGACCAATGACCGATGACCATTGACCAATGACCGGTGGTCCATGGGGACAGAGGGCAGCGCGACCGGCGCCGGCTGTTGTGTGACGAACGTCACACCGGGGATCGGTCGAGACGGGAAAGCTTCTGTTTCGATATCAAAAACTTCTCTTACGGCGCACGGATCTTGAGAATCGGATGGAAGGGTAGAGTGCTCATGTGTCAGTGCGCCTCGTCCGTCTGCATGCTCCGGCAAAGGAGATGTTTATGTGTCAGATATATGTATAATTAAAAAGCTTCTGATGCCTCTCAGTATCTACCGAACACAGCAACTACAAAACTATAGCTCCGTCATCGCTATTTACTGGAACACACAAGCACAAGAGCCTGAGTCAACCGGAACGAACATATCCAATGAAATTCACAACACCACACCTATTGAGCTCCACATCCAGTCACCAGCATTTGTAGAAGCGAGAGCATCTTGAGCGCAAGCTGGTACGGCGAGCAGGTGTCACACCTCGCTCCCTAGGCAGTAACTCTACAGTCTACACGCATCCCCGGAATATCCGGCTCATCATCAGTTCAGCGCTCTAGCCCGTCCCTCCGGTAGCAGCAGCGGCGGCGGGGGCGGGCCGGGCCAGCTCGGTATTCCAGGTGCCTGAGTCAAGCCCACGCTCTTGGTAAAACGACCCGCCGACACGTGCCGACAGATTCGCCGACCGGAAGGAAGCAGCGACATCTGTCCTTCACCGGCGGGTCAGGTGCGCTCAGGCGGACATGAAACAGCGCTCAGACTCAGGCTGGGCAGTAAATGTAATAGAATCAGTGCCTCGGAAATACACAAGTACTTGCACTGCGTCACTTTAACGAGAAGGCACATACGCAGGAGCGGACGATTGGTGACAGGGATTCGAAAGCGGCTTAACAGTAACAAAGTTATAGTCTCATGCAAAAAGAGTGCAATATAAGTCGAACACCTATTGCAACAGTGAATGACTAAAGGCCTTTCCAGTGAGGACAATATTGCAGGGATGAAGCATTACACATCGCAATAATCCCGTCACACACACTTGTGCGGTGTTGAAGCGTGCACTACATGCGTACACGGCATGTTCCGTCCACCCAAAGGAATCAATCTTTCCCGCGACGGAAGTATCCAACTCACCCGGGTGCCTGCGCCGTCTGTCCATCCACCGACCTACCACACCTGAGAGCGATCGAGACACCTCCCTGCGCCGACCTTCGATGGGGCCATATATAACGCGGAGACCTCCCCAGAGAACGCGCTCCAAATCCACCCGAGAATTGGACCATTCGTAACGGAGCCGACGGGGTCGCGGCGCGGCACGGTGGGACGGTATCGGCCTGCGAGCCCCGAGCCGCAGCCTGAGACACGGCTCCCGACGGCTCGGTAAATAGCCGACACTGCCAGCCGGGCGGCAAATAACGGCGAGGGCTCTGAGATTCACTGGCAACACAGCTGTGCCGGCCGAAAGGTCATGTGAGAAATAGTCGCTACTGAATCAAGAAAACCTACCCATTTTTCTCAAATGCACATAAAAACACAGCTGTGCCGGCCGAAAGGTCAGGTAAGAATAGTGTCTCCCAATGAATCATGCAGGAAAACCTGCCCGTATTCCTCAAAGGACCATATAATGTATCAATCTATATAAATACTGGCATGCCAAGCAGAAAATGCGCAGTGACAGCCGACATCAAAGATAAGTACGCCGCTAAGAGCACTGTCAGGTCGCTCTTTCAGGAAATCCTAGCCTCATCCTACGCCCACCGCAGTGTCCTGATTTTCGTGAATTTGGGTGGAAACCCACACCTAACAGATTCTCTTTGTGACGTCCCGGAAAGCCAAACGACGTCCCTGACAGATAAAAGTCGATAGGCCTATCGAACACCAAAAGCAAAATAACAAAAGGAAATATCACCTCTGTAGCCTAAAAACACGGCTAGGTATGCAAAATAACAGTAAATATATCCTAAGTCCTCACAAACCCACTCTTACACTCCCCTTTCCTGGCCAACTGCCGCAACAGTAAACAACGCGGTTTTATTTTATTTTCGTTTTCTGTGCGTCAGATATGGATAGGTTTTTTTCCTTTACCATGTGAAGGTAATGCTGCCATATGAAGAAGAAAAGATGTCGGAATAGAGGGATCTGAGGACGTCGTTTTCCACTTTTCAGTTTTAGTAACTGTGCAGTGTATAGATAAAAATTAATCATGCGAATATACGAGTATTACTTGGACATTTAACTATAAGCACGCAACATACCTTTTGTATCAAATCACTGTAACATATTTAATTATTTTTCCCCCTCAGAAGGTCACAGTAACGGGTTAGCGCTGCCCCTTGAACATGCCCTTCAAAAGTAGTTAATTTTGCATATGTTGATAGTGGTTGGGGAAAAAGTTTAATGTTTATCTGTTTGAATTAGAATAAAGTTACCGAATTTCAACAGAATTAATTCAAGTATGTCGTCCTTGGCTTAAAAATACACGCAATGTTGGGGACGTCGATTGACCTTGTTATTCCCATTTAATCGACGTCGGTACAAAACTGAAAAGTGCACAATGATTTCACATTTTTTCCAGCCAAGAAAAATTCAGCGTCCACCTTGGAGTTTTCTTAATTGAATTTCATAACAGTAAGCTATGGAAATTAATTTTCCGAACTGTTTTCCACCTCTTTGTTTGGACGTCTGCTTTTTTACATCAGTCCTCTTGCTCGATATGATATCCCTCTTATGACGTCAATATTTAGTGATAGCCGCTGGCTCTTGGGCTGATTTTGTTGAAGCATATTTGTTGTTGACTGTTGTGTACGATCATGGACAAGAACTAGACATCTTCAAAGTGTTGTTTTGGTGTTTGTGGTGAATGCTTGAATTTTGTATTTTACTAGGGGTAAACTGGCATTACTTTGTGTCTATATATGTTCATTTGAGGTGCCTTGAGGTGGTATTAGTCAATATTGCCAGTGAAAATCGCTAATTTTAAGAGATTTAGGTAAGGGATCTTCAGTGGCTTAGGCTCCGCACCGATATCAACGTCCTTTTGAAATAGCGACGTCCTCGCGGCTTCAATCACACTCTCTGAAAAATCAATTTCAGGACACTGGCCCACCGCACTCTTATGCTTCCGTGTCTGTCAGGACGCCCCCAATAGTGGCAGCATTAGTGTGTATGGGCTTTCAGCTGAGTGTTTTTACGCCAACGGAAGTGGAGTGTGTACCCACGTTTCACCCCGGATGCACCGCGCGCAATACAACCGCTGCCAGTAACCAGACTGGTAGTTCACGTTCATTACAAAATGAGATGTGATTATCCTGCAAAATACATCCCTTTTACCAGCAACATATCAAAATGGCTTGACTGGAAGAATTATCTCCAGACAAAACATACAATGTGAATGATCATTGATCATCTCTTGATATAGCTTAACCGAAGCTTGAAAGCATCATTTAGGGTGTCCTGTGTCAGTAGCCTGAGCGCGCTACTGCGCTACTGCGAGAGCGCTACTACTGCTCCAGCGTATTTGGCCAGCTCATCGAGAATGGGAGAAAGCTAGCCCCAAGCGACTTCGAGGTTCCATGGGGCGAAATATTTGGTGCAAAACCAAAGCACTGACGGAATATGAGTGGTAGTGTCTAGTTTGTCATCGAAATGTACCATGTGGTAATGTGTTTACGAACCGAAGTATGTAGACGCAACAATAAATCAGCGTAGCCTGAGTGAGCCGGTACTCGCGCTTCATAGATAGCACCAGTACCAGTAAATGCATACCCTAAGTGAGCCGATGCTCCAGGTACCCCAGTGTCGCTACATGGTACATACTCTGAGTAAGCCGGTGTGGAGATACTGCAGCATCTGCACATATCATGGATGAGCCGGTGCTCCACTAGCCTGGTTTCCCAAAGTCAGTATATACCCCGGGTCGGTACGAGTATTACCCCAGTGTCAGTGCATACGCTGCTTGGGCCGGTGTGGGGACACCAGTGTCACTACCTACCCTGAGTGAGCCGGTGCTCGCGCTCCGCTGTAGTACTTAGTATGTACCCCAGTGTCAGAAGTAGTACATACCATGGGTCCATAGAAACCTAATGTGTCGCTACATACATACCCTGAGTGAGCCGATGCTCCCGCTCCACGTCTGTCTGGTCGACGGTGCAGACGGCGTCCCCAATGGCGGTCAGCAGGCCGCCCAGCTGGTCAGACAGCGTGATGACGCAGTGGTGGTCGGCGATGCCGGCCCCCTCCAGCACGATGTCGCAGTCGGCGGCCGCGCCCAGCGTCGTCCTCTCCGACTGAAACACGCGGAAAGACGACAGAGTTACATGCTAAATACGTGGATAACCGACAGACTGAAACACTGAAATGCATGGATAATCAACAGACTGAAACACTGAAATACATGGATAATCGACAGACTGAAACACTGGGATACATGGATAACCGACAGACTGAAACACTGAAATACATGGAAAATCAACAGACTGAAACACTGAAATACATGGATAATCGACAGACTGAAACACTGAAATACATGGATAATCGACAGACTGAAACACTGAAATACATGGATATTGGATAATCGACAAACTGAAACACTTACCAGTGAAGAGTGACAGTGCTCACAGTGACAGTGAACAAAGTGATACACTGAAACACACCGATAGGCGACAGACTAAAACACTCGGCACGTCGGCAATGGACAGTCGACTGAAACAGTGAAACACACGGCCGGCTCTCCGCCTGAAACACACAAAGGGAAGATAGACCCAGCCGTTTCTACGACTGAGGTGATGAGGTAAATACGGGTGTAACGAACCGAGCAATACACCACAACGGGGAACAGTCATCGATGGGAAAGGGGCTGCCAAGAATAGGGGTGCTTCGAGTAGGGGGAGGGGGCGGGGCTGTACGAGTGCGATGGGGTCTGAGAAGGCTGCCACTCGTGCGATACGACATATAGGTACTTATTATCGGAGGTCGTGTCGGCAATTATGCTGGGCGGAATAGTACTGAATAGCGTTATAGTCCCAGTGGGATCGAGGGCGAGGAAGAGAAAGAGGGAGGGAGAGAGAGAGAGAGAGAGAGAGAGAGAGAGAGAGAGAGAGAGAGAGAGAGAGAGAGAGAGAGAGGGCGATGGAGGGAGAGGATGCTGAATAGTTGATTGCCCCCGCCAGACCGTGGCATGATTGACCACATTCTGCCTGATATATTACCCCACGAATTGCCATCATTATTTCATTGCGCGTTATTTTTGGTATCAGACGATCATCCCTCCCGCGTCCCGCTCGCAGAGCTGAGGTCAGTCGCTCGCTCAGTCACTCAGTCCCATACAGACGGGAAGAACAGTCACAGTCTCGGTCCGGCCGACAAGACATCCAGTGCCGGCCGACCCAGTCCCCGCGAGTTGCATGTTTGTGTGACCCGCCGGGGGGAGGGGAAGGGGGAAGGTCGATGGGGAGGTACGCCGACAGGGTGTCACGCGATAGCGCTGCTCCACTGACGTCACACCACGTCACAGCTCTGACGTCACAAGTGTCAGCATATGGCGAGCCTCAGCGGCCGGGCGCCAGTGAAGAGATTGCAGGCGGTGTGGATACGAATACGATACACAGTGAATAACGAAATAAACAAAGGGAGGATAGAGCCAAACAACCCGTTCAGCGGTTTAAGTTCACTACCATACTTTTTAAGCTTGGAATTGTGTACATTCCAAAGGGATTCAATAACCAAGAACCACGCCGACTTCATGGAACGTACTTATATCACAGGCATCCTTGCTAAGCTCGTAACAACTCGCGTGTGCCCATGTGCGCATGCAGACGGAGCCTAATTAGTGCCGAGGGCCAGAGCCCCTAAGGATATTAGCTAGCGGCGCCGCGCGCCCTGTATCCCCTGTTCGTAATTGGATGCGGCGAACTGCGCACGGGGTCAGACAGGTCACAGGGGACGGCCTCGCTGACGTGCGACGCTGCTCGCTGACGTATGTTCACGGCCGCTAGCTATGATACAGATGTCGATACAGTATGGTGCTGATCGCTGGGGTACGATCCTGCTCACTGGAGAATGATGCTGGTCACTGGAGTATGGAAGTGATCGCAGGAGTGTGATGCTGGTCACTGGAGAATGATGCTGGTCACTGGAGTATGGAACTGATCGCAGGAGTATGGTGATCGTTAGGTACTAAAGCACAGTGCTGGTCGTTTGAGTGAGATTCGATCCACGAAGTGGCATTTGTAAGTCGGATAAGTAGGCGGTCAATGCACACAAAAGCCAAAGCCAGCAAAGCACACTACAACAGTGGGCATCAGGCAGACAGTCTCTGCAACGGGTAAAGCCAGGCGTCGATTTTATGCAGAGCCAAAGGCCCTTACATAACATCTTGCATAAGAAAACAAACGGTTCATTTTCTGAATTGGCATCACTTAACCGAACCTCATTCAGCTTCTGTTGATTTTCCCATTTTCATTTCATTTCTGCTTACTTCAGCTGATTCGTTCATCACCACAATGCCATTTTCCACACACTTCGGCATTCTCCGTCGATTGAATTGAACGAGATGGCGAAAAGCTGGTACTTGCGAATCGTCTCTGAACCACGCGAAAATCTTCTGGCGCCGTTCCAGAAATTCTCTCGGGAAACATTACGCCTAATGCAAATCTCGAGTCTCGAGACGAGAGTAAGTTTTCACGCGGACGGCTGCGTCGGCAAGGTATATATGAAAGTGAGTGAGGTGATTCAGATTTCGGTGAGGCGTGGAACTGACTCAATATCCGCCTCCTGGTGGACTGGGACTGAGAATGGCATGATCCCAAAAGGATTGCATTGACGACTCGCGGACGCCACTGACATGATCCTACCTCCCACTCAAATCCGCATGACGAGAATACATTGAATGCCGAGAGTTTGCATCGATCCCACAAAAGGACACGGAAAAGCTCATATGATCTAAATAAGACGCGTCCTACCACGTCAAACTATATTGTAATGGCAACGCAATACAGATGAGACTGCCACTGGGCGTATCTGCTCTTGGTCAAGGAACTAGCCGGCGTGTGATGTAGAGACAAGAATTGGGTTACAGTAACAAGGGTCAAATAGTCCAATACATATCCTCACTACACCTTCTCACTTCACCCCAGCCAATGCGTCTTAAAGTCGGGGCAAGCAAAAACTAATTGATTCTATCAGCCCTGAAGCGCCACCGCTGCTACTCTCTAAAGCCCATCAAAAAAGTGTCCGCCAAAACGACTGGAGCCCAGCCTCGCTGGCGATCAGCCGAACAGTTCAGAGCGCTGCCCGACTGAGCTATTGGAGTAGACTGCAGGAGCCTGCTGCTTTGAAGTACGGCCGGTACGTGACCAAAGTAGCAAACAGCATTCCAAACCACGCCACTTCAGCTAGTGCTTAAGCAGCTAGTAGCTGGGCAGTTGCAGAGACTCTTACGCAACCAACAAGCCTTGCAGCGCAGCCAGCAGCCACTGACACAGCGATAATTAATTAGGTTAATCAACAGAAGCATGTAGTTTGCAGTCTACTGTAATGGCGGCAATGAGCAATGACTTCTGCTAAATTGAATACGCTAACATGTGTGGATTTTATGGATTCCGCTACATGCACGCTCCATGAACGTTTCCTACAATTTATCGAACATCAATGTGGATAGCAGTATTTCAATCAAAGTATAAATGAAGAAGTAGGTATCGGCTTAGTGTCCCTCGTTAACAACAGGGATAACAGTTTTTTTACCAGACACATTAGCGGATTATCATCTACCAGCTACAACGATTTTCCCAGAGGTGTGGCCGAATAATCAATGACAGGACTAAGTCAATAAGGCGACAAGTTGGTTCTGAGACCCTGTAAGAAAGCATTAATATGACAAGTGTACAGCGTAATGTGCGCTGAGCGTCTAACTCTCTCAGAATACTTCTGAAACCCAATCCGCTATTGCAGCGTTTCGACGCTGGCACCGTTCCACCTGCAAGAAACGAGTGCGCTCTCATGCCGCAAGCCGTGCTCTTGTCTTATTTGCACTGAACTCGGCCGATTCTTAGCTGAGCTGAATTATACTGAACGACTTAGACAGCTGAGCTAAACTAGCCTGAGCTCATCTGAGATAGCTGAGCAGGAGCTGAGCTGAGCGACCAAGAAAGCTGAACTGAGCTCTACCAGTCTCCAATGCGCCAGGTCCCGCGAAATCCAAAAGTCCAACCAATCTGACCAATCCACTCTAAGCCAATCAAACCACATACCTCCTCGTCCATTGCCAATCGTTTTATACCACCACACCGTTCAGTTGGCAGAAATTTAATGAAACTTTATTGCCGCGTGGCATGTCCTCAGCCTCAGCACTAATCATATCTAATCGATACGCCTGGCATGCACTTCGTAAAGCGTTCAAAAGTCGTAATCTAACTTGAGGTACCCAGCCGACAGGGACGGACATCGTTCCTCTGAATGAGCACTTGAGCAGGTTATAGCGACACTGCCACTGATCACAGATGTAAGCTTACTGGTTTATGGGTCAGACCTTAACCTTCTGGACCAGCCACTCGGGCGCGATTCAACAACAGGGCACGCTGCCCAGTCGTTCCCGTCCGCCCGAAACAGCGTCGCAGTTCCAATCCACACTTGTTACACGGATTAAAACGTTTAATCCACAGTTATCCGCCCACTAGCCAGAGATTACGAGCGCCTCGGTCACGCGCTGGGCCGATATTGTCAGCACGTGCCCCGTTGAGTTGAAGGGCTGCGATCCTGCGTGGCCCGGAGACAAAGTCAGGCACCAGCTGAACTGTGCTGGTTCACGAAAAGTCTGCAGATTGAGGGAACCTGCCTCCAGCTGACAGCGGTCATCCTTCTGTCGACGTGGTGACAAGCGAAATCTACAAAATCGAGTAGACGTGTCACTTACAACCGGAGGTCGACAGCGACACTGTGATCCCTTGTCAGCAGAAAACCAGACTTTTTGTGAGCAGAAAACTCATTACGCTCCGTGTAGCATTTCAGTTTTCACGCTGGACTTTTCTATAATCATCTCGTTAGATTTCCAGTATCAACTTCTGGCGTTTTGACATTTGATGAGAGACACGTTTTGTCCGTTGTTCGTTTGTTCACGGGCAGTCACAGGTCAGCCCACGTGCTGCCCGGATTGCCTGCAGCAGGGAGGTTACAGGGAGCCACTGAAGCCATATCAACGCTCCCCAGCAAACCCCGGCGTCACACTGATGTTAATACGTCATCCTGACGCGTCCGCCTGCAGCAGCTCCGCGTCACACCGGCATCAATACGTCATCCTGACGCGTCCGCCTGCAGCAGCTCCGCGTCACACCGGCATCAATACGTCATCCTGACGCGTCCGCCTGCAGCAGCTCCGCGTCACACCGGCATCAATACGTCATCCTGACGCGTCCGCCTGCAGCAGCTCCGCGTCACACCGGCATCAATACGTCATCCTGACGCGCCAACCTGCCGCCGTTCGGCGTCACACCGGCATCAATACGTCATCCTGATGCGCCGCCCGCCGCCGGCCGTATGAAGACGTCCTGTTCCGAGCGCGGCGTTAATTAAGTCGCCGGCCCGCCGCAGCCATGATGCGGTCGTGCAATCTCGGGGGTCGGCCGGAACGGCGAGCTTGGTGGATCGACTCTGTGCGGCCGCGGTCATATCGAACGGTATAACGGGTCTCCGCGACATTACCGCGACCCAAACGGCCCGTGCCGCTGAGGTATATCGAGCGGACAGCCATGGAGACCCGAACTCATTCCAGCCACTGATTGAGACACTGCACTGGATGGCGGTAGAGAGAAGCTCAGCGGAATGGCAGTCAACGGCGATCAATGCATAGACCATCTCCGAGATGCATTTAACCGACGTCAATCAGCCGAACGACGGCACTAGCCAGAACTTTGTGACCTCTGTGAAGCTAAACATAGGATTTGGACAGGGTAGAACTATTCCAATCAGCAAACCAGCTTAGCAACAGACAAGAAGTCTATTTCTAGGGCCCAGTAACACCACTGAGTTGCCCACGGCTGATTCACCTGGGCCGCATTGTCCACGTGAATGAATGTATTCACTCATCACCGACCGGGGGCGTATGTCTCAAAGAAGCTGATCGGCATGTGGCAGAACCTCACCGCCGGCCGCCCTGGTACCGCTCACAAAGCGTCGTACCGCCGCACTATGAATGCGCACATTGCATAGCCAGGCGCACACATGAGTGCTACCACCAACGCCTCTTCTACAGACTTAATAACCATATTTAGCGCAATGGCCGATTGAATGGGCAGTTTTAGAGTATCTAAGTCATAAAGCAGTTCGAAGGCCTAAAGTGAACCCCATCAGCCAGTCGCGGTTGCCGGGCGGCGGGATACATCAGTCTCATGGACAAATTCAGACGTGAAGTGACTCCGCTGGATACTAACGTCAATGCCTCCCAGTTCAGAGAAGAACTGCATCTGCGAGCTAGATGTGACACGTTCTTCAGAGAAACGCCAGTCAGGCTTGTGATTTTGTTCGCGTAGCTATCAGAGACAGGCTCCACGCATTAGCAGAATGATTGTTAGTTCGTCTGTTGATTACCTACGGTGACCTACGGGCCATTGCTACTCATCAGGGGCAAACAACATAGCCATTTTCTACTGATTCCATGCAACTGCAGGGACAGGCAAATGGGATGAGGAATAATTCGCTCACATCCATGCGATAAATGCGCATGTTTCTCCTTATTGGGACATGACCGGATGGGACCCAGCCGAAAGTCGGTAATTCAGGTCGGTCATATATACCGATTGGATCACATAAACAGAGCGCTAATTTCAAACGAAGCTGGATTACATTATTTTCTGGCGGCAAATTCTGGCGAAGCTGAGACTATCGGCAAGTCCATAAGGAGATGTCGTGAAATTATGGTTTTAATCTGGGGCCGAATGGAAACGATTTATGAAAGCGTTCCAGATATATTAACTTCTCGCATGCTGCCAGCCAAGACGCCTACGGTTTTGATGGTAGATATTGCATTAATTCCTCACACTTCAGAAAAAAGCCGCGATCTACATGTGACACGGTCCGCAGAGACGGTCTACGGCCCTCCTTGGTAGTCGTCAGCAAGACTTTAATACCAATCCGCCACCATCAGTTCTCCCGGCTCACTACAAATAGGCCGCACATTATCATACCCTATCCTCCCGGCCCGCCACAAAAGAGTGTCACACACTCAGCCCTTACGGCTACCTACAAATAATCTGCACACCACCATACAGTCCTCCCAGCTCGCTACAAAACAGTGTCACACTTAATCTTCCGGGCTGGTTACAAATAAGCCACACGCCGCCATTCTCACTCCCCAGTCCCTGCTCGCCACAAATACCTGTCCGACTGTCGGTCCGGCGGGCACACCGACCCGACCTATTGCCGGCTACTGACCGGCGCACGATTTACGAGTTCCGGCCGAGCGGGCGCGGCGGCCCGGGCGGCTCGCTATACACGTGCCGTGAGCTGCAGACATGTCCGCCCGGCCAACAGATTGGCCGTGGTTGGCCGTCCGGCCGTCCCAGCGGAATGCTACCCGTACCGACCAGACTCGGCTAGAGCCAATATACCACAGGGAGACAGGCTTCCAGGGGATGGCTGGCGCAGACGAATTTCAAGGAAAGTGTTTTACATTACCAGAGGGTTCAAGCCGGAATGGAATGTGACCCTTATCTCACATATTTGTATAGTGTTATTCCCAATGTGATCATTTGAAGCACCATTATGCAGTTTTGCACTACCAGAGGGCTCGCGTTGTGGTGATGACTGTACCTTACCGCAAGCTGGTAGAGTATTGCCCATACTGGCCAGTTCGCTTCCCGTATTATCAGGGGATTCAATGCGCAACGCTAACTGTAGCTGATTCCTCACCTTCAGCTGGTAGAGCGTGATACCCGTGCTGGTCAGGTCGTCATCAATGCCAATCAGATGAGGGCGGTCCGAGTCCAACACCACGCCCACTGAAAGGAATACGCCCCAGTCAGTCGCAGTCACGCCCGTACAGCCGCGCCTATAGACACCAGCAGCGTCTCAAGGCATGATCTCAAGTAACTGCTCAGACGGTCACTGCTCACACAAAAACAGTCACTGCGCCAGACGTGATTTCAGACACTGACGTAGACGCAGACAGAGTCTACAAACGTCATTTCAGACACAGACACACCATTCTCAGTGTCTTCAGCAGACTCGCAACCACACAGCTATAACGGCCAGCAGTCCGCTGACAGTGACAAATGAACACTGACTGGACCAGAGTCGCACACATTACCGCAGTGACCGTCCCATCGATAATTAATCACAGTCTGATAGTCAATAGTGCGGCAACGATCGTACTGACACACACAGACCGGCCAGGAGCCCAGGAGCATGTTTCAATGTCTCGGACACAGGTTACGATCATGGATCATGGGTGACGGTTCTGAGTTTAAGAGTACGAGTCCCAATCATGTTACAAGGTCACGGAGTATACACGAATCACAAATTATAGCGCTAAGTCCTAGGAAAGGGTCATGGCCGCTTCCGCACATAATGGGTCACGAGTCATGATCACGGCATGAGTCACGAACACAATGGTCAACAAAAACAGCAGCCGATTATAACCACGTTACCCAATGAATTGCCATAAAAAGGACCGGGCCCAGTCCTGGTTATGGTTCACGGTACTGAATCACAATCACGAATGAACGTGACGGGTTACATCGTGACAATGAAACAAAATGATGAGTGCGGTTTCAGCAATAGAAACAAAGCATTCTTGGTGTGGACCACAGAGACGATCATGGTCAGGGTTACCGCTATTAATCACGGATCACGAACCTCGGATCACGGATCACGGATCACGGATAACATAGTACAATCCCAGTAAGTCCGGCGATCGGTTGGGGTCCCAATAGAACCTCATCGACAGTCACCAGCAGTACACCAGCCTGCCGTGCTCAAAACGCCAACAGGACGGCTGATGACAGCCCTATTGCACTGTCCCGGATCCCGACATATGTTCGCTCGACACTTCAATTATGGCTGCAGTAAAAACGATGGTACGGCAGAGGGGATCAAACAATCAGGAATGAAGGTTAAGTTTCCATTTCGTTGTAAAATTGAGTAACTGAAAAACGGCTTCAAAGCGGTAACAGCTGTAACAATATAATCAAAAGGAACAAAGCATATGGTTTTGACGTCCTTTGTAAGGTCCGGTTGCCAATCCTTCCTGAATCCATACAGCTCAGTTTCTCCATCTGCGACATACAGCCGGAGCTGGGCAGCAATACACCTAAAAGCATCCGCTATTTCATTTTACCGGTGGTCCGGAGCTCCGACAATGGGTCAGCGAATCCCCCGAGGCTAGGCGATCAGCTGAGTGAAGCTGGCGTGTTGGGGGCTCTGTGCCCAACCGGTCCCACATCTCCCCCCCCCCCACACACTATAGAGGGACGGCGCCAGGGGCTTCCAGAGCTTGGCTATTGACTGAGCGAAGCTGACGTGTTGGGGGTTCCGGCCCGACCGGTCCCTCCCCCCCCCCACCCCCACAACCTTGCAATTTAGAAGGGCGGCACCGGGGGCCTGCAAAGCTTGGCGATTGACTGAATGAAGCTGGTGGGTTGGGGCCTGCGTCCCCGACCCGTCCTACGCCTCTCCTCCCCGCTTCCCCAACCGAACCAATTGCGGCACCGGAGAGCACTGAAGCTCGGCCCAGCACCGCCCTTCCTAGGGTAATGAGACGAGCTGGAACCGAGGAACAAAGCAGTCCACTGAATGGGTCCGCCGAGAGCCGCTGGTTCAGAGCACTGCACTGCACGGAAAACGGGCGACGTTCGAAGACAATGAAAATAAAACGATGATTTACGCCGCTAGCGAACGCCACGAACCAGGCGGAGCGCCGATCTATTTTAGAGGTTTTGACTAGACTGTTAGCCTGGGTCAGAATTGAATTCGACGATGGCATGCATCCATATGGAAGATTCAACGAGTCACGTTGAATAGTATGAACTTTATGCGGGGCATAAAGTTCATACTATTGTGCTAACTTTTTGAAACAATATGAAGCAACCAATGTCACGGCGGTTTACATCTCCTTTTTTACAGTTAAGCCTTAGGTCCTCAGACACACAGTATCAATTACGAGATTACGTGATGCAAGGTTTCTCAGGATCCCAACAAAATGTTCTCATCTAAACCTTAAAGTACTGGGTCACATTACGAGAATGTAAGAAGAGCATGCGTAGGAGTTGATGACATTATTCCGCCTCATCATATCTTCTAATCGACCAAACGACGTTCACGACACATCCAATAAGTAGATCACTCCGACTGTCATTGGCTGCTGTCGTGCGTCCCCTCACCTCCCGACTTTCTCAGTCCGAGTGTCTGCTGCTCCTGAAGGATCTTCTGCGTTTCCCGCCAGCCCTCCATCCACTGGTTGGTCATCTCGTCCGCCCGGGCCTCCTTCTCCTGTATCAGCTCCAGCGCCCGAGGAGACTGTGGGAAAGTAGAGAGGGTCTATCAAACTCAGGGTCTGAGGGTGCTGTGGACAGGGGAGGGGCGGATCATAGCCCGAGGCGGCTTAAATAGGATAGGGGCAGGTCAGGGCCCGGGACGACTGTGGAGAGGACACAGACGCGTCAGGTCAGAGCCAGTCACCTACCATGGAAGGAATGAGTTTCTTTTTAAATCAGCTCCAGCCCGTGGGAGCTGCAGGTGAAGAGAGACGGTCACGCTGTGACATTTTTGAAGCATGCTCCTTCGTCCATGGTTCCTGGGAGATGGACTGGTTAGCTTAGTTACCCAAATATACCGCAGCATGAAGCACTACTGTAAATCTCGCAGAGCCAACTACAGTTTGGGAACAAGCATGCGAACATTTCCAGCCCGAGCCCTGAAACATCACACACCGTCGCGCAGTTCGAATGCCCGCTTATTCAAGTCACGGGCATCCTGAGTCGTCTCAATCTGGAACTTCACGCCGTTATATAACACCCGGAACTCTCCTCCCAGTAACGCGCTCTGCACACAATATGCAATGTGAGTTTCTGCGATTGCAGCAGCAAACAGCATTAGGAACTAGGACCAAAACGCGCCTCCCGCACAGAATATATGAAATTATCAATCTGGTGGATATCGTGTTCAACTACAAATACAAGTGTATAATATATCGATAAATATGCTGCCGCTAAGCACGCATTGTTTCACCACGGGTGCCGATATCAAAAACATAATTTTTACGCTTCTACAATCATCGCGGAATAATATTGATACTCCTTCTGAGAAGGAAAGGTAATTGCTATGGACCCTCAACCAACAACAATTTCACATCGCGTGTGATAGATCGAAATCAGGGAGCGGATTCAACAGCATCCACTTGATAATACACCGATGTCCCAAGAAGATTGAAACAAACCTGACAGACTCGGAGCAGCCATGCGACGGGCATTGAGCAACCTCCCTACCTCAGCGACCTCTATAACGCCGATGCATCGCTCCCTGTAACTACTGTTCCAAACAAGTATCGCTACCACTTGTACAGGAGCGCCCTCTACGGCTTCAAGCACTTCCAGCCCCAGCGCGACCCGAAAGGGACGTCTCGTGCCAAAAACGACCTCTCTAGACACCTGTGAACATCTGAGGATAGTCTAATTACAATAGCGTGATTGCTCACACACTAACCTTTCCGGCACCGTCTACACTAAACTATCCGTGTCGTCTATGATCGTTCAAATACATAGGTAACTACCCAGGCCGTCTGTAGGCGCCTTTACCGACCTCCCCGGCGCCCTCAATGAGCGCCCATACTGACCTCTCCGGCGCCCTCAATGAGCGCCCTCAGTCGGGCTATCTCCTGCCGCAGTTCGCGGATCAGCTGCACGTTACGGTCCTCGTTCACCGTCGGCTTGTTGAGGATGGACTTTGCGCGGTGGGCGTACCGCAGCGTGCTGAGCGTCTCACCGTAGTTCACGTCGGCCGGGGAGATGGCTGGGGGGGGGGGGGAGAAACGGGAGCGGCTTTGTTAGCTAGATCGCTAGAATATGCGGACCAAAAGAGACAGAAAGAGAGATATCACCGCTAAGAGAAAACAGATCTTTACTCACTCACAAATCTTCAACAAAAATACGTGAAGTAGCCAATATCAAGCAGCATTCACAAATGAACAGCAGTGAGAACTAGTATTCATTAGCCTCAGGACGTCTTCCACCACTCACGCTCGCCTCGACCTCATTCCACGGTTCCCTCCTCCCTCCCTTACTCACTTACCGGCAATCATAACTGTCTTGGCGTTACCACCGAGACTGTCTTTGAGCAGCCAGGTCAGTGTCGAGTCTCGGTAGGGCACGAACGGGGTGCGTCCGCCCGGGGTGTGACGGTGACCGGCTTCCGCCAGTGCCGAGATCACCGAGCCGAGTGTCACCAGAGACTTGTTGATGTGAGCGCCCTCCCGCAGTCGGCAGCCTGTGGCGCCGGTCGCCTTGGCACGTTCACTGATGGAGGAGAAAGGTAGGGGTGAGAGGTCAGCGGCAGGTGTTGTAGCGGGTGTAGCAGGTCAAGCATGTAAGAGGTGTAACTCGTATGTAGCACGGCTTTAGGTTAGGTTAGGTTAGGGCAGTAATCGCCACGCCATGTGTGGATCGCCCATGATCGTAAATACATACATACAATTACATACAGCTACGTTACGGTTAATGTTCTGCAATAATCAGATGAAAAGAGCACAAGCCGGCTGAGCTATACAAAAGGTGTAAAAATACAAATCACGGAGAATACTACAAGCCTATATTTCAAATCCTGTTTGTAACGTTTCCTTTCCTCGTGTTGATCGCACTAAGAATCATTCCACCAGCCTTTCGTATCAATTGATTACAAAACACCGATAGCCACTACCACCTCCCTCACCCCCTTACACACAGACATGCCCTCCCCATTTCCTCACACCCACAACAGACCACCCCTCCCTAACCGACGTGTTTCTACCTTCCCGCCAGGTCAACGAGGTGGATTTTGGAGGTCCGCTCGCTGGGCAGGCCCTCGACTAGCGCCGCCTGTGTGAAGCCGATGGTAAAGATGGCGTGGCTTCGCGAGCTGGTGTCGTTCATCCCGGTACTGGCCGTGGTGCGGTGGGTGTTACCGCGCTCAATCAGCTCCTGGAAGGGTTAGTTACATGATTTTAGTTACGTAATTACAGAAGATGTGCAGTCCTAACGACAGTTTTAGAGCAACTTCGCCTGACAGACAGAGAATAGAAAACAGCAACACAGTGGCAGTATCTGAGGGATGGTCACAGACCACAGATAGAAAGATACAGCTCGTGTGAGGTAGAGTTATAGATAATGCACAACATCTGGGAGACACAGTTTAAAATACAAGTGCAATGCTACAAAATTATTACGCATCACTGCTTCGCTATAACACAACCGCACAGCTTCAAGAGACACGGCCACTGCCATGGCTATTGGATCTGTCCATTTTCGTGATGAAGTCGCACCCTGCCCCGAAACTACCAACTTCAGCCAGTAGTCCAATGCTGCATAAAGTAACCCTCGATACAGTCAACGTAGCAAAACATGAAAGCATCATAAATAACGTGTAGCCGCACAGCCTCGACACTTGGCAACACTGCATCGGTCATCAATATTGATTAACACAACACGGGTGAGCACAGCAAGTTTTCTCTTTACAACTGCACAGTGCACACCAGACGGGTGAGCAAAAACGATATAGAACCATTGCTACATCCGGAAAGGGGCAGCACATTTGTGTGTGTGGAACAATCTCCTCTCACACCACCAAATGCTATCAGTCTCCTGAATAAAGCATATAATACGTCTATTAGCCAGGTGACGGTGAACTTCAATAAATCGTTGAAATTAACAGTAAATGTGTAACAAGAGACAAAGACACTTGGTAGCCAGTTCGGGGACTAGACTCAACGATGGAATCTAATGCAAATGAAAAACACCAGAATACTTCGCCGAATTAAATAAATTTTGCAAGCAAAAATTAAATTCCAGCCATCTCACAACAAAAGAAAAAAACGTTTGAACCTTGCTCCATCCAATCATCCGTCATCTATTTCTGATTCCACCTATATCGTAAGCGGACCTTCTTATTTGTCTTCGTGTTTCTATCGAGATGACTTGGAATATCCGATTAGTACGCCGCCTGTGACTATCGTGTCCTATTCATAGCCGCCTATCGACATATCTCTAAATTCGGAGGTAAACAAGGCTGACGATCACCGATCGAGCGATGTCCGCTCCTCAGTCTCGGTGTCCTTGAGCGGAGGACTGAAGTAAGCCTCTGAGTCAGGCAAAGTCAGAGTAGGAGTCATATTCGGAGTTGGAGCTTGAGCTTCAGTTGAAGTTGGAGTCATAATGGCAGTGCCAGTGGCAGTGGAGTCAAAGAGCAGACTTATATTCATGGTCAGACTATCAGACCGTAGTTCAAGCCGCAATTGGTGCTAGAATGAAGCTGTTACAAAACGGGAGTTGTGACCGGAACACCAAGTGTAGTCGGGATATGGATGAAAGTCAAAGCGACGATTCAATGGTTCAGCCGGAGCGGCAGTCGGAGTCAGTCGCAGACTGAGCATCAAGACCAGACCACCGTCGCTCACATCAGAGCCAGCCGGTATTTGGCACAAACGATACCAGATACTCAGCCGGGGACGATATACCCAAACATATCGACGATTCGCTTGCATAACCAGCGAAAAACGAGCCCATTTGTTGATTCTGTCAGTGACTTAACTGCGTCTGTCTGCCTGTCCTTTCGAGCATCCGTCTATTCTCGTCTGCTCCTCCATCCGTATGCTGTCAGTTCGTCGACCTAATTACCATAGGATATCACAAGCGGAATCCTGTTCCGACTGGGAATCCGACCATTGTCAGTTTTTGTGGAGGTGAGATCGAGCTTATGCCTAGCATTTAGAGGTTGTAGATGATTGATGATTGGCGAACAGCGGGGTGGCAACTGGCATTGTTTCGCGAGACAGATTGGGTGCGATCTCCGGGGGATCAGCTCTGAGCACTGGTCCCGTAGTCACAGTGCATTCGTTGATTCTGCTCAACAAAGGTAGAAAAACGGTAAAATGTCGCAGATATTTCAAGAATCGCTTAAACCACTCCAGCGTCTGATTATATTCATTCCATCAAAATTGAGAAGAAAGCTATTCACACTCACAGTTAACTAACAGTAAAACGACGCTTTCTCACGATGACATTCCCAAACTGTGGGACCCAGAACCGTTCCTTGTGGGACCTCTGACAGACCCCAACCGCCCCTAAGTTTACTGACCGATATATCCGAGTATGAGGAGACCAGGTGCCTGGAGAGCTGCTCCACGTAAGGACCCGTCTGCGGGTGTTCGCGCACCCTCAGCGAGTGACTCTGCTGCTTTTGTAGCAGGTCCTTCACCTGTGGCAGCGGGACATGTGGCAGGTGAGATGTAGAAAAACGGTGAGACAAGTCGAGAAAAGGCGAGACACAGGTCGCTCGGGGAGACAGATCACCACACAGCGACAATGGAGAGGGGAGACGCGAATACATTCGGTGAGACATGGCGACTGACTTTGAGACATGGCAACATACGCTGGTATAGCATCACGCGCTCACACTCCGAAGGGAAGCGGCGGTATGCGGCGCCTAGATATGTTAATATACTAACGTAAACCTTCTGCGTAAAAGCTCAAAAAGTCGAAATAGTCATAGCAAAGATAAATGCTGCGCTTTTATCCCTTCTTTAAAAGTACAGAGCAAAACAGGTTCAAGAACGACCCACAATCCATAGGATCACTAAATTATTGTGCAGCGCAAAACGTGTCTTACATTCATGTACTTGGATTTCGAACGAATAGCTTTATATCTCGAATAGTGCTCTGTACTCCAAGTGTCTTAACCCGCGCGGGGCTGGGAGGGGTAAATTTTACCCCCCTCGCTAATTTTTGCGATATCTCAAAAACGGCGGCGCGCAGCGCCGCCAAACTTTCAGTACCTTTTCTTACATCAATTTGACACGTACCCTGAAAATGTGAGCGAAATCCGTCGGAAAATTTTTGAGAAATTGACGTTTTAGTGACGTCATGTTCGCCATTTTCGCCTCAAAAACGGCAAAAGTTCAAACGCAGCTAACATCTTCATTTTTAAAGGAATCAAGACGTAACAAAAAAGGTTATACGTAATTTTACTTTGTCTATCAAATGGCTATCTCGGTTTTTTGAAAATTTTGGATTTTGGTCTAATTTTTTTCAAAAAACTGACTTTTTTGGGAAAATCATTATAAAATCCAAAATTTTGAGTCTATCGAAAAAACCGGAATATATGTCAGAGAAGTGGTCTATGTGCACCTACATACCAAATTTTAGAAGAATCGGTTCAAAAATGTGGGAGTTATTCAAAATTTTATGACGTCACGACACACAAAATTTTTGAAAAATGACTTTTTTGAAAGTTCTAGACCTCGTACGGAAACAAAAATAGCACCATTCGATTCGCCGTGAAAAACTGCATCAGATAGACACCTTTTTAGGCCTTAACAACCAACTTCAAAATTTGACCTCACTTGACCTGACCTTGACCTGACCTCGACCTGAAATTCATCCAGAGGTGGTCCATATCACTTATTGAGTGTGCCTATTGAATTCTATGAGTAAAATGACCCATAAAACATGTGTCGCACATGCCCTTTTCTATATTTTGTTTTTTGGTGACCTGACCTGACCTGACCTTGACCTTGACCTCTGAATGATATTGTATGCAACGAATATTGTCTTGGTAGCCTAAGAACACGTTTTGGGCGATCAGTCTCAGTCCATGACTCCATTCTTCGGCAACTACGGTGCAAGGCCGATACTGTAGAAACTTGCAATTTGTACCCTTGACCTGACCTTGACCTTGACCTCGAACTTTAAATTAAGTACATTTTTTTAGTAGTTCGTGATGAGAGCTTTCGATTGGCGTTTGAATTTTCCAAATCGGACCATTAGTTCGGGAGATAACAGGGGGGTAAAATTTACCCCCCCCCCCAGCCCCGCGCGTTCGGCTGGAGACCCCAGCCCCGCGCGGGTTAATGGCCGTAACAGCCACTTCAATTCCATCATCAGGTGAACCATGTATAGCCAATCCTTCGATAGATCAGTACCCAATAACCCGTATATGTCCACTGGCCAGCAGGCTTCCCAGGCTCAGTGTTGCATAACCGTCCTGCATCCACGGCAGTGGAGGATGCTGTCATGCACGCCATGCAATCGGTCAGTGCGGGCGACACCGACACTGCATGGCTGCCAGTCGCGGCCGGAGTTACATAAACTGAGTACATAAGTAGGATCCTCCTCCCGGCACCCGACAACAGTACCCTCCTACAGGCAGGGGCGACTGTCGTGGCCGCTGCCGTGAAATCATTCTCACCTACCCACCAGCAGTCTCTCACACCATCTCACTATGTTACCAGCATTTTCTCTGTCTCACCTGCTCGCTGTAGGTCTACGCGTAGCTTACCTCGGTGTTATTATCTTCTCGTTGTAGATCCCCAGGTGGCTAAAGTCTACGTTCTCACCTGCTCGTTGTAGACCTTTCTGTAGCTGGTGTTTTCAACGGCTCGTTGTTGATCTCGAGGTAGCTGAAGTCTACGTTTTCACCTGTTCATTGTGAATCTCGAACTAGCTAGTGTTCTCACCTGTTCGTTGTAAATCTCGAGGTAGCTGACTTCCGTGCGGTAGCGCACATCGCTGGACAGTTCCATCTTGTCAAACAGGCGGTAGCAGATCCGGGGGATCAGACCTCGCTCCGCCTGGAAGAACAGGGGTCACACAGGTCAGTGACAGAGGTCATTCAAGGTCACAATCCGGTCACTGACTGAGATCGGTGAAAAAAGACGTAATGACAAGAAAAACTGAGTTGGTGTTAAGTGCTATGCAGTGCAGTACAACTGGCGACAGAAAAGAGCCGTTCGTCGAGGCAAGTTTTGACCATCATCGCCGGATCACGAGGAAAGGGCCACATGGGACTGGGGAAACACCCAAACAGGGTATGAACATGTCTTAGTAGACAGGGGGAACAACCGAGGTTCTGCAGATTACCCTGGCTCGTGCATAACTCAACAGACGCTAGCCGTGGTCCTCGCCATGCTACGAGCGGCCGAATAGTTACACAAGCCGCAACAGCAAAGCATCAAGTGAATAGATTGAACAATAGCGTCACTCCAGTAACCACTGATAAGTGTATCTATGTACCTATCTGAAATGGTTAAAGTTGAATTTATAATAGGCATAATTCACTAGCATACATGTCTCTTTCACGTCCAGTGTCACAAATGTCCCGTTTTACATGTTATCGACACGCAGAGAAGAGATAAGATTGTCCCGTGTCCGGCAAGCTATCGCGCCTAATAAAACATGTCCAAAGTAGTTTCCCAATCGAGTTTATCATCCTGGTGTCCATGTGAGAATTTCGCAAGCAGTAAGCAGGATATTTGTGAGGCTTCCTTCTCTCCCCCAGTCCAACTCTCCGCAGCGAAGGCAATGTGGCACTGCCCTGGCTGTGGACACTGGAGTTCCTAGACAAACTCTCCCTAGCAAAATGTGGGTACCTACTGGAAAGCACAGCCTTGTCTAGTGCCTACGGATAATGAGATTGCTTTTCCTAATCTAGCCTTCACCATGTTACCAGGTGGGAGGCACACTTCGTCTGTTGACAATGGCCAGTGGCCATAGCGAGAACACAGCGTTAGTGGTTGTCTCAGCTGAACCATGTACGGATTCACAGACAAAACAACGTCTGCTACTGACTAAACGTATCCAAGCGCTTTCATCGTTCATGGTCATGATTTCAGATAAGACGCCATATCGGTAAGCGTATTTAGATAGATAGATAGATAGTTTATTAGATGCCTCCACTGGCATGGATTTTGTGGCATGCACGTCAATCACACAAGATAAAAGGTAAAATACATGACAACCGGTAAACGACCTTGAACACACCATTGTAAACATGCATAAAAGGAGATAAAAACAAAATGCTATAACACTAAAAACACAAATAAAAGTATATACACTACACAACACACGACCATAAATCACCTATTGTTCCATGTGGAAATCGCGCGATACGTAAAGCTGCGCCGCGCAAACTCGGTCCTCACTCTCGGTAGCTGGAGCAGGCCGTTGGCCACCGCTCGGGTTTGGCGGCCCGAGACATCGCTTCGGTGGATCAGCTGCCCAGTCAGTGCCTCAGCCCCACATGCAGGGTTAAGAAGGCGACATATGGCAGCGATGTCCCGCTCATGCACCATCTCATCGACTGTGGGCCATCCCAGCTCTCTAAGCGCCGGTGTCACGTGGTCTCGCCGTGACAGTCCCGAAACGATGCGAACGCCAAAATTGATAGCTTTTTGAACTCGTGCTTTAAGTGAAGCCGAACAGCTGCCCCACACAGTCAAACAATACCGAATATGAGGAAACACAAGCGCTTGTACGAGAAGTTGCCGTGTACATTTTGGTAGTTTGTGCCGCAGTCTAGCGATTCCTATCAAGATCATGTTACAGCGCTGGACGACATTGGAAACGTGCTCGTTCCAGGCCAAGTGCTGGTCTAAGGTGACGCCCAAAATTTTGACGCTGTCAGAGGGCAAAATTTCATCATCGCCAAAGCAAACAGAGAAGTTGGTGTTCACAGTCTGACGTCGAGATTTTAAAATAAGCATCTCAGTCTTACTTGGGTTGATTTTGAGACGATTTTGAGTGAACCAGGCCAGGACTGTTGCGAGGGTGCTTTCTACACGACTTTTTAGCGTTTCGGTCTCAGAAAAGGTTCCAGCGTCAAGAAACTGGCAGTCATCAGCGTACGAAACAAGTTTACAGTGAGGCACGTGTTGTGGTAAATCGGAAGTAAATATAATAAATAAAATCGGTCCTAAAATTGATCCCTGGACTACACCGTGGGTGACGTTCAAAAAGTCAGGAGCACCAGTCACAGTCTGAGATCGATCGCTCAGCCAGGCTGCAAACCACCGGCTGTCGATCCCGTACCAGCCGAGCTTGTCCAGAAGACGGCCGTGCTCGACGCTGTCAAAAGCCTTGGACGTGTCGGCAGTGACAAGTGACGTCACCAGGCCCCTGTCGATGTTGTTGACAGTGTAAGTGACAGCGTCGAGCAGGGCCGCCTCCGTGGACAAACCCGGCCGGAACCCGTACTGTTGCGGACAAAGCAGATGGTGCTCAATCAGATATGACATGAGTTGCGTGCATACAACGCGCTCGCACAACTTTGACACGACTGGGAGCACACTGATCGGGCGATAGTTATTGGGATCGTCTTTAGCTCCCTTCTTGTGCAACGGCACGACTGTGGCAACTTTCCAGGCACGAGGTAGGTCGTAATGACTAATAGACGTGTTCACAAGTTTTAAGAGGTGAGGACCGACAACTGGAAAGGTCATTCTCATTCATTCTTGCTGCTTCACATTCATTATTTGCTGCTTCACAACTTTGTCGCAGACCAAAATAGGTGTATGATCGGATCGCACCGCTGTTTTTGGTAGCTTCCAGGACCAACACATCGAACAGTAGCCGTGATTAGCTGATCATGCATCCGAAAACCAGCGGAACCGCCCCGCCCCCTCCGCTGTCTGCCTGCGCGTCGAGCGGCCCCTAACTCGCTCCGCAGCTGTGCCGGGCGTGCAGTCAGGAGTCGGCAGCGAGCCGTCACTCACCCCTCCCCCTCTCTCTACCCTCCCCCTCTCCCCGGCGACTCGGTCACGATCCTTCCGAACGCGGCACACCGGCGCGGCGTGCAGAGCCGCACCGACGGACAAATGTGCTCGGTAGTGGGACGAATTCGAGCTGCGCGCCGCAATCCGATGAAGGGACGGACGACGTGAGGACAGATCCCATGGTTTTATAAATGGGCGTTTAAATTGCAGAAAAAAAATGAGAGAACAATATGAATTTACTTCTTGAGCCAAATAAAAGAATAAATTCACGCTGAATGTATTGATCATGAAGCGAGGTGGGGACGGGTCCTCTGACAAGCAGTATAACAGACAAGCTGTCTTTCACTAATCACTGGTCTCGTCACTTGGAGCACACTGGTCTTGTCCACGTCCAGCATGAACAGACCGGTCTGATCCTGACAGCTCGCCGTGAATCATAATCACCACCTCCATCATTATGAATGGATGGATGAATAACTAAGGCGCTTAGGGAAGGACTCATGCCGGGCCTTTCTCATAACAAAACTACGGCAAAGTCTAGCGGGCCGGGCCTCTCTCATAAACGACAGTACGACAGTCCCTACCACAACATCAACGCAGATAAACCCTATACACGAACCGCGTCACGAACAACCCATAAATAACAAAATTGATATGCAACGATATGAATGCACAATTGCGTAGATCTGAGTGCTTTCGACTCGACCATATTTTTACAGCACTTCCCGCATATCATCATGCACACTGACAGGCTCGCTGGCCAAAAACACCAGAAATGTATGTGATAAAGAGCCTGTCTTTGTGTTCCTACACCAGATAAACGCCCATATCCTGTGTCTCCGCTGTGGCGTCAAGGCTACGACGCCGTGTTATGACAGCGGCCCCCGAGGATCGACGCGAAAAACACTTGGGCACACCTCGTGTCGCACCAGGCCGTGAGCTGAATCACGCCACCTTCACGGGCCGTGGGTCACGGGTCACGACCAGGGGCCGTAACCATGGCAACGAAGACACAGCCGGGTCGCGGAGGGTGGTGGTAACCCTCGAACATGCACCGCTAGAAACTCACAATAAGACAATATGGTCTGGTCATGGTGGCATGTTCTCGACGAAAAACCGGCCGTGACGCGTGGCTTTCTAGTCGGTCACGCGGCTCCATATCACGCGCACGGGTGCACAGCGCTGGCGCATTCCACAGAATAAGCAGATGCAGTGCACACTGCACACCGCGTGATGGACGGCGCCCACCTTCAACCAGCCTGGATCGCAAACAAATATATCATTTGCCAATCGCCGTTCAGAATCAGCTGGCTCCCTTAGCCTGAGCCCAGCCTCAAAAGCCGCTATGTTCAACCATCGTTTTCACAAATGTAGGTTGTCGCGATGGTGAGCCAACCCACGCCCAAGTTGCAGTGGCGCACCGCGCTGCAGGACTGTAAGAGCGCAGTGTGCACAGGTGTGGGCCACACACCCCACGCTCAACCGAGCCCCTAGATGTGGCGTGCATGTAATAGCGCCCCGACTGGCCACGGTGGCACAAAAACGCAGCAGCACCCGTAAACAACTCATTGTGGAATCACGCGAGTGGTGCATATTACCTCCTGTGAGGCTGCCGCGCGCGCTGGTCACCCTCCCCACTGCAGCGACGGGCGGAGGGGGGGGGGGGGTAATGATGACGTAACCGGACCGCTCGCGACGGCCGCTCTACGGGAGGTGGTTTAGAGACGGAGACTCCGGCACGGACAAGAATGACGTCACCGCAGAGACAAAGGCCCGGCTGCCAGGCGGGCAGGAGCGAAACGGGTCGACTGTACGGGAGGTGTCACTAGTGAGAGCGCTCGGCGGGGGCGTAGTCAAGAGAGCGACTGAACAATCAACAGGGTGATATGCAGCTCTGACGCAGAAACGGCAGAAAGCATGGCAGCATGACAGGCTTGTGACATGTCGCTGAATATACCAGCGGGTCAAACGACGTGCAAATGGGTGCCAGTCGGGGTTCAAAGCTTCAGAATTCGGATTAAAGTGGCGTTTTTATTGGAGCTTAGTCAGGCCAGAGACTATGTGGACTTCAGAGAAAACCGCCCAATATCGAACGCCCGACATTGGACTTAGGTATATGTAGATCCCTATATTTGTAAAGCAGGAAACTTGTGATAAAAGGAAAATAAGCTCTTGCAGTACTGCAATGATAAAGATAATGCACTGACTTCAGGGACCTCCGAACTGCGCTGCATTACTGAGTTAGCCCAGTAGTCGTGAGAGCAGACCTCTAGGCGTAATACGATGCGACTCCTCAAATACACAAATCAGTGAGTGAAATCATGCTTGTAGTTCACCGAGAGCGTATTCATGTCACCGGTTGGGGTCATTGGCGCAGCAGCACTCAATAAGAATAAGCCAATAACGACACCGTTGTCTGAAGCCGCCGGCCGCCGCCTGAATAGACGGAACTGATTGCGAAACAAACGAACCGCATAGACACCACACTCATAGTTCCAAGCTGGGACAAAGCCGCAGAGGAGCCACCCTCATGGGTCGTAGACGGAACAAAGCCGCAGACACCACACACGTGGGTTTCGGAGCTGGAACAAAGTGCACGGCTGGGAAGGATGTGAAACTGTGCCGTCACGCATGGCGCTGTTGTGTGATGTCATCGGTTTCCAGGTGATTGGCTATTCAATTAGTCTGCGTCACGACGGCAGTGACTGCCACAATGGACTGGTGGACGGGAGACAATGGTCTAAGAACGGGATAACTCGATCAACCAGCCACCATTCAGGACCCAATGTTTCCTCCTAATTCTGATATTTTTAACGGTATCTTCGTAAATTGATTAACAAAAGCGGAGGGTAATCCAGAAACTTGGACAACTACAACTCCATTTATCGAACATCTTCTGTGTCCGCCACAGTACAGCACTAGCAGGAGGCAGGTCATAACCGAATAAAATAATGAAGAAAACAGTGCTAACCGGATATCAACCAGGCCACGAAATTGTTTCAAATGAATCCAAAATTAAGTGGGATAAACTCCAGATCTTAATATTTTTTACTCTTGTTTAAAATTTAGACAAATAAATCATTAGGGGCTAGGGCTGACTTAAGAGATAGTCGTGAACAACCTCGAACTTCGGAGTTCGGACGCATTTCCTAAGCCTTATCCATATTGCAACCTCTTATACGGCCTTGATTGCAACCTTCCAGACCCCGTGGGCGACCTCAAAGCCGTCCAGGGGTTCCTAGTGGACCAGGGTCTGGTCGTGTCTCCCCCGCCGACAGACCCCAATCCAGACACACCGCTCGGCCGTGATTCGTGAATGACTGGCGTGAGTCACCCCGGGGCGTTTCGGTCCGACCGACAGGAGCCGGCTTTCCTGGCGCCAGCAGCCCTCCCGTCCGGTCGCACAAGGCCTCCACCCCCGGCCGTGTCCAGCGGGGTCTACTGTCGTTAGACAAGCCCTCTGTCCACAGCGATACGAGATTTTCCTCCTAGTGCGATGCATGTTCAAAGTTCACAGCCAGCAGCGTCGGCGGCGGTGGAAGTAAGGGTGGCGGAAACGTGACTACCCAGAGCACTGAGCACGTTGGAACAGAGCCCTTCCCCACGCTCCACCCCACAGGATAGATATGAAGCCGCGAGCTAATGATCGCGGTCGGAGCTCCGGGATATGCTTACTGATCGGGTCATCCACATGGGTGCTTTAGGCGGTCGGCTGAGACGGGACACGAAAATATGGGACGGGATGGGACGATGCCGGGCAGCGACGCAACGCGACGGGACGTGACAGGACGCGACAGGACGCGACGGGACGCGACGGGACGGACAGGACAGGACAGGAAAGAACAGGACAGTACAGGACAGGACGGGACGGGACGGAACGGGACGGGGCAGGACAGGACCGGGCAGCGACGCGACGCGACGGGACGGGACGGGACAGTGCGGGGGCTGGGAAGAAATCAGATGGAGTAGCGTGGGCGGGTACTGGATAGTCTGACACATCAACCCGTTTTGCTGCGTTGTGGTGTCCATTGTCGGCCCAAAGCCCTGATGACTAGGGCCCTGTTTCACCTGTGATAGCAGCACGCTGCTTTTACACGTGTCAAATTGGGTTTCCATAGAAACATCAACAGGCCCATTGCTCCAACACTACCACAAGTGTGACGTCAGCTCGCGCAATTTGATAGCAGCGTGGTAGCAGCGTCCCGTGAAACACCGCCCAGGGGTGCCGGTGCCGGTATTCACAGTCTAAAAATATCGTAACCACGAGGAACTGGGGCTGTTAAAAAAGAAGAGGCACAGACAGTGGCAGACTCAGCGGAAAACAATATTCAAACGTTGAAAAAGTAGCTTTATAGGATTTGATCATTGCATTGACACAGATAGGGTAGGAATGTGCGAACTTCGGCGACCGACTTTGCATAACCGGTTTGTGGTGTAAGATGGACGCAAATGAGAGTAGCTACTTGGCCGCGGCTTAGCCAGACTCTCCTGGACACATAAGTGACTCCTGGATCAGCCCTGATATATAGAACAGCATCAATGCAATGAGTTTCGCTGACGTCCTGTAGTCAAAAAGTATTCACGCTGGCAATGTGCAGCACTCCAGGAAGACTGGCTAGTATTTTGACCTCAGGTAATCTGACCTCGCCTGTGTCCAAATCAATATGCTCAATACGTCGCCGGCGTGTAGCACATATAAAATCGACGTAGCCCACTCGAGTAGCTCTGTCCGTGTGTTGGCATGGATGGCCCGGAACTGTGTCTCGGACGAATATGCTTCAGCCGTGCGGCACAGATTCGGGCCGCCGCCCACGGCGAGCGGTGGTGATGGATCGCCTACTCGACCACCGCCGGCTCCCCAACAACAATCACAGCCGAGCGGGCCAGTAACTCACTACAGGCGAGGCAAGATCGCCTGCCCGACTGCCGCTGGATCTGCAGCTGGCAGTGGCGGCGGAACACCTTCAATTAAGGGGGGGGGGGGCACTGCCGACTTTTGGTCCCATTCTTTCCATGTAACGCCATAGGGCTAATGTTAAAATGCCAATATCAAAGGAGGGCACGGTGCTCCCTCGTTCCGCCGCCTATGGCAGCTGGGTGATTCAGTAACTACAGCAGCCACACTACATGCGGAGCCCAATCCGGTCTTCAGTCTGCTACAAGAGGGCCGCGAACTATAACAGGAGAGCCAGCAACTGCGGCAAAAGCCCGGTCCAGCGGTGGTCCTTACCTGAGTTCCCATCATGGTGTAGGTTTTCCCGCTGCCCGTCTGACCATAGGCGAAAACACAGGCGTTGTATCCGTCGTAGGCATTGTCCACGACATCGGAGCCAAGATTCTGATAAATCTGAAATGACAAACAGAAAAGGTTAATGGGACAAGGCAACGACGATAACGCTGTGTAGCTTTCCACCGTTTCCTTCATTGCGTTCCAACCAGTCGGATCAAGCGTTTACAAAACCTACAAAACCAATCGTAACTGATCTCTTGTTCCACCCATTCTTGGAAAAAAACATCGATAATATACCAGAAATAGAGCGTTACGTAAATCCCGACAAAAAACGAAGCTCGGCGCACGACCCTCTCTACAAACGTTACTCAAACGATAAGCGCAGGTCGAGGACCGCAGCGGAAAAAGAGAAGAGCCCTCCGCCTACCCCTCTTCCCTCCCCCCCCCACACACACCCACGCGCGCGCGCAAGCACGCAAAGCAGCCACCCACCTCCTCCTGAGAGTGAAAGACGGGCTGCTGCGGGTCCAGCGACCAATACGAGTAGTCGTATGTGAACTCCTTGACATCCTCGCACTTGGTCGTGTCCACTCGCTCACCGGGCTGAAATAAGAAAGTCCGTGCTAAAGTGGTAGTGAAGTGGTAGGTGGGAGGAAGGACGGTGACGAAAGCGTGTCAAGAAGAGAATGGTGTGTTCAGTGAGCAAACAGCGGTGGCTGGAAAACATAAACGGAAAACAGAAGCGGTGGTGGTTGTTCCGAAACGCGGTATCACTTGATTGAGAAAGGGGGCAGTTCGTAATGTTAACATTGACAGACACTGATAATGGCACGCTGTGAAACACAGGAACGAGTGATGAAACGTCAGGACGCTGTCGACGGAAGTGTTATCAGTCAGATGATAAAAGCCAAGGCACAGTCGATCAGGGGCTGCCGACGAAAGGGCAGAGCACGCCAGCGAAAGATAGGAGATGTAGGTAATAACATAATAATGATTTCAAGTGAATCGGAGTTACGGGGAATTAACAACCGGGTTATATAAAATGTTTATGTGACATAAAAAGATCAGTTTAAAAGCGGCACAGTTATGGGTTGCGTAACTTTAGAAAACAAACATACAGTAACACTCCAGTTCACGAATCACATGACTATCATCGGGATGTTTTACAGAAAGGACGGGTACCATGGGAACTCTACGCAATGTTGCCACGTACAGGTCGCTGGTGGGGAGCGTTTAATACAAGCGACAGCATACCTACTGCTTAACCAAGATGAAACCAAAATCATGAAACCATTTCTTATGCAGCGCAGAATAAATATAGGTACCCTAAAAACTGAAGCTTTTTTTAAAAGCACGGGTGTTTTCCCTAATGGAGTGGCATTGCTCGACAAATATGTATGCAGCCATCCAGCACAATGGTTTAAGTGATCTAAGACGACTTGATAAAAAGTCGTGGCACAGTCACAGACCACATATGCGTTATGCACTCTGTTCCCCGCAAAAAAAAAATCAGCAGACACGGCCGGGGTAAGATATCGCAGGCCGTCGGTCCCGTTTGGTGTAATGCAGGGCTCCAACACCCTCGGATGTACCCATTAGCTCCATTCAAGACCCCATACGAGTCTCAAAATAAGGAGTGCAAAGGTAACTTCAACAAATGTGCTATGGCGTCATTTGATTAATGATTTATCAAAGCACGACGAAAACGGCGCGCCTCGAAAGAAATGACATCGTTACGCAAGCACAGCGGGGCACGTCACGTAACACGTAACATAATACACCTTTTTGCACTCAAAATAGGCATCTTTTCATTCAATTTCGGCGAATTGCATTCAATTTTAGCGATCTCTCATTTGCTTCGAATAGAGAGATCGCTAAAATTGAATGCAATTCGCCGAAATTGAATGAAAAGATGCCTATTTTGAGTGCAAAAAGGTGTATATTGCACCACCGAGCGTCACTAAAAGCAGTGAAATACACTAAAGACAAGAGCACAGCATAGGTACATCGGGATAATCAAGAAGCGGCAATGTGAGAGGTCGGTGCATTTGTATTGTGTCATGCTCAGCCTGATTGGGATAAGCAATGATGAACATAGGCGGCGGAACGATTTGAGACAAGGGGGGGGGGGCACCAGCTCAAGGAGCCAAACCTAGGGTACCCCCAAATCCTGTTTTCTCATCGGATTTAGGCCACTTATTTTTCGTCACAGCCCTGACACGATTATTTTTTATTTTTTATTTTATTTTATTTTTACTAAACGAAAATGGCAGTTCACCCCCGTATGTGTGGTTAACTTTAAGCTGATCCTCAAGTACCTATGTGTTTGTCTCTTCCTTATTCTCGTTTGATAAATTCCATTAATCCTACATGTATCAAATTACCAAGAAGCCATCACAGTACTAATCAGTGGCGAATCCCAAGGGGGAGGTCACATGGGTCATGACTTTGGGCCTGGGGTCACCACATGCCTGCCAGGAGCACCACAGGCCTGACAGCTGACAGGGGCACCACAGGCCCGCCAGGGGTACCACAGGCCTAGCAGGGGCACCACGGGCCTGTCAGTGGCACCACAGGCCTGTCAGGAGCACCATCGGCCTAGCAAAAGCACTATAGGTCTTCCAGGGGCACCACAGACCTGCCAGGGGCACCAGAGGCCTGCCAGGGGCACTATCGGCTTCGCAGGGGAACCACCGGCCTCGCAAGGGCACCATGGGCCTGTCAAGGGCACCACAAGCCTGTCGTTGGCACTTTAGGATTGTCAGGGGCACCACAAACCTGTCAAGGGCACCTGCGTTCAAACAGGGGCACCACAGGCTCGCCAGGGGCACCACAGACCTGCCAAGGCCCAGGGACACCACAGGCCTAGCAAGGACACCACAGGCCTGTCAGGGGCACCACGGGCCTGTCAGGGCCCATGGGCATCTAAGTCATGTGCAGGGCCCACCGTAGGCTTGTCAGGGGGCAGGGTAGGTAGGTACCACAGTCTTTCCAGGGGCACCAGCGGCCTAGCAAGCAGGGGCACCAGTCATCACACGACTAACCAAAAATAAAGAAAACAAACTAAAAATAGGGCACCACCAAAATTAAGTGGCCGAAATCCGTTGAGGTTTTAATTTTGGGTATAGGTAGGGGCACCACTTCGATTCATGACCCTCCCCTTGGAGTTTTCCCGAATCCGCCCCTGGTACTAATACATCAAATTTAAGGGGGCACCTTGCTATTGGTGCCCCCCTTGCAGAATTCAAGAGGGCACGGTGCCCCGGTGCCCCCCCCCCCCGTTCCGCCGCCTATGATGATGAACATTGAACATTACAGACAACGGCTGGGCTAGTGTAGTATTCCCATTGTCCTTGTTCGTTTACTGGGGATTCAAGGCGCATGGAGTTTAGCGGTCACTTTGTGAGCGCCGGGTGGTATTCCCCGTCCTAATGCTTCCGCCTCACTTCATGCTGGTCTTTGGCGTGAGGGTACTCTCACCACAGACCTCGCTTAGTGACCTGAACGATCACAGCACACGGGTAAGATATCATTTAGGCAATTCCTAGCCCATGATAACTTAACTATTAGCATCCCGTCCGCAAATGAATTGCTGTTTTATTGTTTTCTTTGACTTTGAATTGCAAACTCAGTTAGGTAGCACGCAAATGAAATCAGTCGTGCATGGCTGTGCCAAACATGTGTTCTAATCGTGACAAGTAACAATCATCAATCATCATGACAATCATCGTGGCTCTCATTACCTTCGCATTGTATTGTACAGTCGTGTACAGGTTGATGGTCCCCTACTCTTTATCCACCGGGTTCCTATGGCTCAGCATTGGCAGCAGCCGCCTGGTACCGGTAGGCTGTGCCGCATGACCCGAGAGTGAAGCGGCACAGCCTACCCACACTGTATGACACCGGCTCGGGTCGCCTGGTAGAGCGATTTGACCGGACGCTGCGTTACACCGGCTGGGGGGAGGGGGGGTAAGGGTCAGGCCGGTGGATGAGGCGGGCTGGAGTGTGGTGTGGGGCGGGGGTGATGTGGGGAGGGAGTGAGCGGACCTGGGGCTGGGTGTGAGTGGTCACTTGTCGCGTAGAACCGATCGTAATCCACCCTCCAAAAATTCGCTTTAGAGAAATTCACAAAACCCAGGGGGGTTCAAACACCCATCTCCCAAGTGGGGTGCGGAAGGACAGGTAAGGGTCCATACGGTCTCCTCATGAATTGCAGCAAAGAAAGAAAACAGACCTGTCACCAAATAATCTTTCTGAAAAGTGGACTAATCGCATAGCCTCGGACACAGAAAGAAACATCCAGCACGCGAAGCGTCTCGAACCGGGCCTCTCACTACCGGTCAGTTTGACAGTCTAGCACTCCTACGCTGAGCTACACCGGATGGTGGCCACGGCCGGGGCAAAGTCTGGCCGGGCGGGCGGCGGGGCCGGGAGGTCGGCAGCAAAGTCAATGAATGTTTTTTGTGGTTTCGGGTGCCGGTCGCTCTAGCTTGGTGGAATGATGATGGATCATTGGCAAAACTTTCAACGTGGAGTCCCTGTTCGAGCCTCATCGGGGCTCCGGCTACTTTTCCGAGTTAGGATCTGGTTTGATTTTAGTGGTTGCGAGCCATTTATACGGTTTTATATCTACATGTCGATTGTCGATTGATTGATTGATTGATTCATTCGTTCATTTAATACATGTCGACATTTAGCATACGAATTGATATCCAGGATCAATCCGATCAATCTACCATTTTCATAAGCGTATTGCCTAAATATCATGCATATATGTGGCACAAGACCTACGGTTGCCTCGATACCGTGCCAAATCACGTTTTGCACAATGCACAAGTAAATTATATTCGCTGGGTCTTCCGTGCATTGTGCTTAGCAAAAACAGGAATGCAATTGTTAAGCGACGCAAAATGTGCAGTGCAGCAAGTGACCACACACACCCGCCTAGCCCCCATGGTCCACCAACACGCCCCACACCACTCGCCAGCCCACGACAACCACCGAGACGAGCCCCTCCCCCGCGCTGGTCTGACGCGACAGCTGGTCTACAAAGCGCTCCACCCGGCGACCCGAGCCGATGTCAAACAGCGTGGGTAGACTGTGCCGCTTCACTCTCGGGTCATGCGGCACAGCCTACCGGTACCAGGCGGCTGCTGCCAATGCTGAGCCATAGGAACCCGGTGGATAAAGAGTAGGGGACCATCAACCTGTACACGACTGTACCTTCGCACTGTAGGTACAGGGACCCGCAGTTGCTACTGTACACATATATTACCAATTTAGAATTGCGCTATTATTTGGTAAGTGCTGGCCATTGGAGAAAGGAAATGTAGCGCAAAGTATGGAGGAATGACACATGTTTGCTCCTAGCACGTATGTTTTGTATAATTCCTCTTACCGCAACAGATATTCTTCCAAAACTACAATCGTGCTATTTTTCCGCGCCGGTTGCCTCCCCAGAGCCCGTCCTTGGTATCGCCTATAGCTTCCATTCCCGCTACGTGAATGAAAGTCACGTGACTACTACAGGTTTGCGCTCAGTACTAACACACCTAGCCCGAGGGCCGGTCCGTAGCGGGGAGGGGTAGAACGCCTGAGCTCCA